TCACGAGACATGTCATAGTAGGCACAGGCCTGTTGCTCATCCCTTCCATATTCAGGTAGATAACTTATTGAGTGACCCTCGTAAGAGGAGAAGAGAGGGGTAGAGCAAGAAATCTAGTTTATCTTAACTTCTCTATCCCTATGTTGGCTTTCAAGCCTGTCATGTATGAGACCACATCACAAAGTATATATATATATATTCTGTGCAGTGGTCATTCATGCAGAAAGCTTGGTATTTATCATAAATGATATATTTTGCTCATGTAATATTTTTAAGAGAGCCATAATGATAGGTTGATAACTGTTGTATATTCTATTGAGCTGCTTCAAACAGGATCAATTTTTTTATTTGTTAAAGTGCCTATTTATGCAGATAGAAGATCCTTTCTGTCATACTGTTGTCTTTTAATATATTCTCTTCATTTTAGCTTCCTCTAGCATGGAACTTATACTTGATTGATCTCAATCATGTGAAGGTTGCAACATGGTGAGTGGAGCTCAGAAGGGGGCCAAGAGACTCTGGCTGAACAATATCAGAGACTTCGAACAGAATTTGATTGCTTTCTTAAAGACCTTTCCAACGCTGAGGTGAAAAAAAAACTTCCTTGCTTTGTCAATCATATAATCCAACATTCTTTGACATTGTATCATCCCCATCCTCAATGCAGAAGAGTGGGGCAGTGGGAAGTTATGCAATGGAGGAAATGAAGGCTTTGCACCATCAATTCATCAGACTTAGGTTAGAGGAGGCTATTGGCAAGGATGCACTTCCATCTCTCACAGATCCCATGGGGAGTATTCACAAGTGAGTGCAATTCCAGTCACCATTTGATCCATCATGAAGTTTAATGTTTCAAAGTACATTGGTGCTCCTTTGCATTCCTATGAGCAGGGCTTTGGAGCAGCATGTGGAAAGTATCAAGCAACAGGGGCAAACAGGGAAAAGCAAAGGAAAAGAGATCATGAAAGGTGAAGGAAAGGCTATTACCTACCAGCTGCAGTATGATCCTCAAGACACAGCATCAGGGGAAGCCTTCCTTAGTCTAGAGAGACGAATTAATGAGCTCGAGCAAATCCTAGGGCACAAACCTGTATGAATTGCTCCTTAATCTGATAAGTTGTGTCTTCTTGAAACCTCTTCAATATTACTGTGGTATACTGTGTACCTCATTCTCTTTTAGATGGATGGAATGGTGGGTCTCCTAGAAAGTGTGAAGAGACTAGACTCCAAAGTCTCAATGTTGGAGCCAGCTCACTTAGACATGATTGAATCCCGTCTCTTATACATTGACAATAAACTACCTGAAATCCAAGACAAGATGGGTGCATCCTCCAATGATTCAGATGGCACACATGGAAAGGTATTATTATTGTTAACATTTTTATTACATGCCCATGAAATATAACTATGTTCAAAGAGCATTTTTGTCTCCTCTAGTTGAATCAGATGATGGGATTGCTTCACGAGGTCAAATCTTTGGGAGATGTCCTTCCTCCCCTAGTCAACCGCCTTGTGTCTCTCCATACACTTCATGAACATGGTGAGTGAATATCATATTTATTGACATCATGCTGGCAAGAAATACTTTTTTAATTGTATTTGTTAGCTCTCATAAATATTTGCATTAACTTTTAAGAATCCTGGCCAGAATCTCTCTTTTGTCAAGTTCATAACCAATTCCCATAATATGTTCCTATAATCTTGCAAAGCAAAAAAGAAATAAGGCAGTAGGGTACTTCTCAGTCTTGTTGCATGTCAGTCTTTATTGGTATTTGTGACTCTTGTTACCCTAAGAATGTGGCATGGGCTATATGCCAAGGCTGCATATTTGAACAAAGGTTATATAAGCAAAAACAATGCTTATTTAGATTTTTCTTTCACGTAAAGGAGATATATCAATTTTCAAACTTTAAGATAGAGTCCTACAAGTATTATGAATACAGGTAAACCTACTGGTGTGTAGTGACAAATATTGTTAAAATATAATTAAGTGATTAAATAGTACAGGGCGTTTCAAATGTCATTTCTGCTGTTCAGACGACTGCCCCCCAATGGACACAACATTGTGAAACTTGCTGTATAGACCAATTTGAACCACGTGGAAAACAGTCGTGGTGGTTTATGTCTTTATGGTCACCCAATATGGTACCTATGGTTCAAAATGGCATACATTTTTATAATAGCTGTTCGATGTGCTCTTCATTTGTGATAGTCACCATCTCCAATTGGGACAGCACATTCCACCTCAAATCATATTGGAGTGTGGAGCAGACATCCTGCTGCACTCCTCTAACTCATGGCACATAGGCCATTGCGGTAAACACAGCTTTGGAGGTAACCCCAAAGCCAGAAGTCTGCTGGGGTGAGGTCAGGCGAACTTGCACGCTAGGATTGCTCAAAGTGATGACAGATGACACGTTCTCTAAAAAAAAAAAAAAATGACCAGAAATGTGGCTCCAGGATGAAGTTGGCATTGAAGCCACACCACACTGACTTTGGTGTCATGGAGTGGCTCTTGAACAGTAGCCTTTGGTTTTTCAACAGACCAGATGACACGGTTGCATGTGTTAACTTGGTCAGGAAGGTAAAAATTTGCTCTGTCTTTCCACAAGAAGTTTGGTAGGAATTGCAGACCCACTTCTGCATGAGCCAGAAATTGTAATGCAAATGCAGTGCCTATCAGCATTGGCTGGTTTCAGCTCTTAGCATGTTCCCAAAAAGAATGCACTGCAATGTATGATGGAACAATTGCAAAGTTGTGGCTGTAGGGTTTCTTGTTCTCTGGGCAACTTCACCACTGCTGGATGCTCCATAACAATCAGTCTGTCATTTCCTTTGTCACCTGGAGAACCCCAGCAACTAATTTGTGGGACATGGGCTACACTGCCAGTTTGTAGGAGCCTGACTGTGAGGTTCTGAAGTCCTTGCTTTGTGTCATGCTGCCATCAGTAAGCACATTGTCTATGTTATTCCTGCAATTTTCACACCAGAGCCCAAGGAGCTCGATTCTCTGCTCCAAGCTCAGCAATTACAGTGACTAGTTAAAAAAAACTGCACAAATATGCATTTAGCCTATTCTAAGGTACAATAGGTTGCCATTTAACATGCCCATATCATCATAGACCACCACGAAACTATGTTTTCTTCTGGATGGTCAAAAGTGATCTACACACCAATTTGTGTCCATTGCTTTTCTGGGTGAAGGCGTCTGAACACTTGAAACATTCTGAATCAGGATTGCAATACCCCTCTTGTAATTCAAATTTGTTTTTGGAAATGCCTAAACCCAACCCAACCTTACCTTGCCCCCCATTCCTTCACTTCTACACTGTGTGCTATGCTCTTCCAGGCAAAGTATATCTTCATTCTTAATTAATATTCATAATTCAGAGAGATGTACACTAGTACTCATGAAATTACATTTTGACCAGCCCTAGAATTTAGCAAGACCTTGAAGCATGTGGAAGAGATGCAAGAAAGCCTTTCAGCTGAGCTTTCTCAGACTACAGAGATGTTGAGAACTGTCCAGGGAAACCTTGAGAAGAATGTGGAATCATTCAAAAGCAGTGTGAATGCTTTAGATACAAGGTTTGGTGCCTTAAAAAAATGAGTGGTTGTTGGTGACAAAAACAAACCAATTTCTTTTCAAATAACCATTTTATTTTCTTTTGGAGGGCTTTTTCAAGATGTGAATAAAAAATAGTTTCTGCCTTAAACTCTGCCAAGGAAACATTGAAATCTTTCCCTTTGTTTCAATTTCTGAACATGCCATGCATGCAGTCATGCTGTTGTACTTTTCCAGCCTGCTTTCAATTCAATCTCATCCATCTTGCTTTCTTTTTCTTTCTCTCTCTCTCTCTCTCTCTCAATCGCTCACTCTCTCTCTGTTTCCATGATGGATAGATCTTTGTATTTTTTGTTTCTAATAAATGCTGCCCAGCAGCATGCATTTGCACACAAGCGTCCAACCTTCCGTCCGTTTCTTTGCATTCCATGGGGACTAGAGCTGATTGGGGGTCCACAATGGGACCCCTCCTCAATCGTTCATACAGTACGTACAATCGGTCGCGCGCTCTTTCTCCATTCGTTCTTTGCATGAGCATAGCATGGATTCAGTCAACAGCCAACAAAGAATATCTCAGGGTGAAAAAGAAGGGCCATACCACCCAACACACGAGAGGAGAGAGAGAAAAAAAACACACATGAACCAATTGGAGGTCATTTGTGAAGATGCCTACTTGCTACAGCAAACATCAAATATGTTCAGGCGACGTCAAGACATGCAATCCTAAGGATCAAACCAACTACACAAACGAACACTCTCATTTACCACAAAGACAGACACACACTCACATATAGAGCAGTTAGATATCTCATTAAAAAAAAAATTGAAGACCCAACCCAGAATGAACCTAACTTTTAGATGATACATGCAATTTCCTTCTTTGCTTTGCCTCCATAAGGACAGAAAAAGATCTATCTCATCTTGGGTGGACTGATCAAGCTGGTGATATTTCCACACACTCTCTTTCGCGCTCTCTTATCTCACCAATCTGCAAGAGTCACCAAACATACGCATGCAAGCAGACTTGAATGGACAAGAGATGAAAAGATGTCTCATGAAAAGTACACCTCTTTGAAAGTGAAATATCCAAAGGATGAGATCAACTGATGACAGTCTGAACATGACCATGGTCAAAAGTCAGTGCATTGTGGCATTACAATTTCATGCTTTAGGATCTTGATCTTACTCTTACTCATACTGGTAATTGCATGAATCTATTCCAGCATAAATAATGCTGGCTTCCTCAGATGCTTGGAGAAGGATACAGCAAGGAAGCATCAGAGAAGGAAAGACTCACATGGGGATCACATATCATAGGCTCGGAACGCAGGAGCATCTGGTTTTGGAGCAGGTCTTGGCTGTGCCTGAGTCCAAGAGGGGCCACCATGAGATGGTGGGGGAGCATCTCCAGTTGCACCCCCTCCCCATCCCATGAATCCACCTCCTCCTCCATGTGAATGAGACTGAGGAGGTGGAGGCTGATTCTGATAGCCACCTCCACTGGGAGGTCCATAAGATCCGTAGCCTTGATATCCCTGATCTCCAGATGGACCTCCACCACCTTGCCCACCCAGATTTGAGAAAAGCCCCCAGCCGGCCTGATTGAGTACAGCAGCTGCAATGGCAGAGCTCATGCTGGGAGGAAGGCCTGTGAGATTCAATGGACCCATTCCCATCCCTCCAGGATTTGATCCACCTGCTCCTGGTTGAGAAGCAGGTCCTGGACCACCACCTGACAGTCCAGCCAATGAATTTCCTAAAGCAGCCAAATTGGGAAGGTCGCCTCTGCCACCATGATTAGCTCCTGGTGTTGCAGCCCATTGTCCCCCTCGGATTCCCAGGTCCACGCGTCCTGGGCCCCTACCCCACGGTCCTCTAGAGGGGTCTGTCTTGGGTGCAGCACTACTCACGTGCACTGAGATCCCCTTGATGATGTGATCTTCCCCACACAGACTCTGTGCCATCTCTGGATCAGCAAATGTGACAAAAGCAAATGCCCGGAAAGGCTTTGGGATGAACACATCTGTCACCTCTCCAAATTTTGCAAAGTACTCTCTAAGATCTTCTGCTGTCATGTCTTCTGTGCACCGGCCCACGAATACCTTGCAGGGTACTTGGGCTTGATGTACACTATCCTATAAGAGATAAGGATAATTCATTCTTTAAAACTAGAGAATTAGATGAGTTGCAAGATCCCACATTAAAGAGAGTCCAGCCAACTGAGTAAAATGGTAAAACTTTGTGGTTCCTTCTCACAGCCTACTGGAATCGAAGTCCAGCTTATGACCAAAATTGCTATATACATAAATTCAGACTCCAAAAACTGGTTCATTCAGGGCTTTGAAAATTTGCAAGCATATTACAGCACACAGGCATTGTCTCTCACCCTTCTTGAAATTAAAAAAAGCAAGTCCTGAATAAATATTTCCTTGTGGTGTCATCTGAAAAACTATCCTACTATTGAAGAATGGAAAATTGAGGAGTAAATTTTTCCTTCTTTGAAACCATGCAACCACTAGTGAAGAATACAACCTTCATGAAAAGGATTGGTGCGATTTTCCTAACAGCACAGAGGCAAGATTTCTCTATAATACAGGAGCAGATGGGGAATTCAGCTGATCTTCACAATAAGAATTTCTCCAGGCCAAAGGCTTATATCAATGAATGCATTCTTTTAAAGCATTCACAGCTAGAGGTTAAAATGAATTAAATTTTCAACATACCTTCAGTATTGTTAATGAGTGTGGTATCTTGTATGCAATCCTTGTAGGTTGTGAAACATTTAAATGACATATCTAGAAGAAACATGTAACCATTAGGAAGACGGTGTGAAAACAGCTATATATGGCAGTGAATGTGTTAATAAGATAGCAGGAACCTAAATAAAATTCTGGACTTTTACTTGTTCACATTCCATGACACATATAGTTGATAGGATGAAAATTTTGAATGAATCTTCCACTAGGCAATTTTAACTTTTTCCTGTCCAAGATCTCTTAGAAAGTTTCCTCTGGGATGCTATCTGCAACTGCTACCAAAAAGCACACCTTTCCTTTGGCTTGTGGAAGAGGACAAAGTTGCACATTGACAGATCCAGCATGGATGCTGGTAGGCAAGCACATCCCAGTCACAGTCTGCCATAGGCTCTAGGACTTGGCCCACACCTGCTGGAAACAGGTGCAATTCTGTTGCAAGAAAATGTAGCTCCTCATTAGAAGTGCAAAATCTGAGAGGCTATGGCAGATTGAGACTGGAAGATGTTTATCCACCCTGCTTATTCAACAGATTTGTCATTGCATGACTTCTTCCTCTTCCCCAAGGTTGCATAAAGAAGATGCTGACACCATCAACAATCCCTAAAATGCATCGTTTCTGGACCTACCAACATCCTGGCATTCAATCTGGTGCCATGGTGTAAGAAATGCATCATGCTTAACAGTAACTTTGTTAGGTAGGTATCACTCTTAAAAACATTTCCTGAAAATTACATGAGATAATGTTTTGAAATAAATAGATCAATACTTAAGACTTATCAATTACCCAGTACAATCTGTAGCTCAGGGGAAATGTTTTACCAAGCAGGACCACTAAGTCCACAATTTAAGGAAAATATTTGGTTCACAGCACATCAAGGTAAAAGAAAGCTATGATCATACAGAAATCCAAGTTTCCTTGACTATCTTCTCATGCTATGCTCCTTCACTTGTTCCCAAAATTAGAGTAGAATCACCTAGTGACAAGGATCAAATATGGGCATGTATTTAAGAAAAACTTTCTGCTGCTATCCCTTGTTTTCCTATTCTGTTTCACCTGTTGTTTCCACAACTCTCCAGTAGGATCACCCAAATATAAAGCCACATCCTGTAGAATTTACAAGATAACTCACATATCAGCAGGACATCATCCCTATTCTGTCATTTCACTTTTACCAATTTGTGATTCAGTTGGGATGGCAGAAAAGGCAGCCTGGTTCAGTCACCTGAGTAGCTGTGAGCAAAAGAACATTTCAGCTCACAGGCAATAACAAGATCCAGAACAGTAAACAGCACTAGTGGCATATTGGCTTCAAATAGTTGGCCAGACATTCTTTATAACAGGACCTTGAGTAGGCAATCTAGACTTACTCCAGACATAACCTTAGAATTGGGGATCTTCACATCACACCAGCGACCATCAATCATATGTCTCTGGGACAAAACTCTTGTCTGTGCATCATATGTTGCAAATCGAATAAAGCCAAATCCCTTGGAGTTTCCAGTTTTTGGATCCTTTTTTACCTGCAATATAAAAGTAAGGATATCAACATGCCATCAATTGGTCCCAAATGTAGGCCTACCCCTGTTGTGTCATCTAGATTGATGCTCTTCTCTCAACCTCTTCCTAGACTGCCATATTTCACATGGAACAGCACCACTCAAGAGTTACACTAAGAATTAAAAATATTATACAACACCTTCCCCCATTTGGCAGCCTTATACAGGGTGGAAGTGAAGTCACTTGGAGATATAAAAAAGTAATAGAAAGTGAATGAAATAAAATTATATACAATTGGTAATTTATATAGGATAAGAGACACAAACTTCATATAGCACCACTGACAAACACAACAAAGTCTAATGACACTAACACTAACATTTTTGTTCATTACCTCCTAACCTGGAGATTTCCTTTGGGGTTTGTCAAAGTTCAAGTTGAATAAGGAAGCCGAGGACCATCAACAACTTCAATAAATTAATTGAAGATACAGTCAGGAGGATCACTCAACATCACAGAAGAGGAATGGAAAACATTTAAAGCACAAATGTTGAGTGCATTAGTGTTAGTGTCAGTCGGCAGGGCTTGTTGGTCCTGCCAATCTTTCTACTGTCCAAGATGACACACCTTACACTTATCAATTTATAAGATTTCTTGATAAGTGAACTAATGACCACCCAGTAAACAACTGGCTGATTTTCACATGAATTTTTGAAAAATGTGTCAGTATCAGCATACTTCCCTAGATGAAAACATGAAATCAGGGCCAGGGTGAGGTAATGATTACCTTTTCCTAAATCATTACAATTTTTACATTATAGTAGCAAGTAACAATTTTATGAAAATTATTTTTAAAAAATACAATCTAATAAATCTGGGGCAATAATATGAATCTTACAACTATTAAATCTCATTTCCTTATGTATCATGTTACATAGCCAAGAGCAAGGTATGCTGATTTCTTGGGTCCTCAGATATAATTTTCTTTTGACATAACTCAGATGTAGGTTTTCAGGCGCTATGCATAAAAAATTGTCATGGAAATGGCAGATGGTGAATTTCCAAGAATCTGGACTGAACTCAGGAATGAGATAATGGGAGATAATCAGCAAATTAATTATACCACCTTTAACATGAACTCAATCCAAAGATGGTCATTTCTGTCCTGGAATAATATATACTATTTTCAGATTAAATTCAAACTCCCCAAGTAGTGGAGTATGTAGAAAACACTACCTCCAGAAGATCCACTTCCTCAGATGATCCAAAATACCACCTGTAATGAGGTGTCATTATAAGCACTTCCATGGGGAGGATGTTAACACATTGGCGACAATGTGTCCTGATGCCAGGATGCAGATTTTTTTTCAATGAATACCCTCTGGAACTGTTGAGAACGTTCCAGAAGATTATGATTTCATAATTACTGATAAAAATTCCAAAAAATTCAACATTTTAAAAAAACTCGGCAAAAAATATGTTTTCTGGGACCATGCGTCCTGATGGCAGGACGCATTTTTTGACAAAAAAAATGCGCGTGGTCCCACGCGGCGGACAAGCAAAAATAGGCTGGTCATCAACGTGTTAACACAAATTCAATCCAAAATCAGTGTACCATCACCACTATGCTCATCATTTACTTTTTAAGTAATATTCACATATCCTGCTGCATTGTACTTCATTTTTTTTAGGTCTTGTCCATTGCATGTAGTAGTAGTAGCAAAAGTATCTTCTTTTGGTTCTCCTATTTGGGTCAGCTGGTTTGGGGATACAGTTGCTTAAAACACTACATAAACTACATGCACTGCTACTTTTTGTTGCAAAGACCTATTTTGAATTCTCAATTTTTTTTTTTCGGGTTGAAGACATGGTTATATCCCTTGTTTGACAACTATGTGAGACTCATTTATTTATTTCCTTTTTGATTTCAGTGAATTTAAGACTATTTTCAGCTTGACTTCTGTCTTCTTACGTATATTTCCAGTCTATAATCAAATCAATCTAAAGAAGTAAGTCATCCAGAATTTATGAGACAGTATGTCTGACCATAAGTCCAATTTGAGCTTACTGGTTTTTTTTAACTTGATAAAAGACAAAAAACTAAGCTAGACCAACTCACCTGTGCCATGAGCACCTCTCCATAGCCTTCAAAGTACTGACGGAGTTCTGATTCTGTTGTCTTCCAAGGGAGGCCCAGGACAATCAAATCTGAGCACTTCTGTTTGTCAATTCTCTTGGTTTTGGAAAGGGAACTTTCCAACAAGTCATCAGATTTCCGCTTATTCTCTACTGGAAGAAAGAAAACAGATCAATGTCAGGGGGATAGGTTTGATAATTCTAGGCTCAACATGAACTGCCAAAAAATTATGTCACCAGCCACCAGAGATGAACTTTTTTGAAGCTTTGCCTGACAGATCTTAAAGGTGTAAATTCCTGTCTCTGCCCCCCTCCATAGAGGGGGGTGTATGGAGTGGGGTAGCAACTGATATCATGAAGGTGGATGAAATAATGCAAAGTCAAATGTTTCTCCTGAAATTTCTTGCTAACTAAAGGTAATGGAAAAGTGAAATGCTCTCTACAGAATGGTTAATTTGCACAGGCCTTTTGTAGAATGCAACCATTTCAAATTGGAATTTATAAAAACAATCATCTTCATGTTTCTGTCTGACAACCCATTTCATGGGGACCTTGGTACAACCATTCTTATACACTAGAGCAGTGGTTCCCAATCTTTTTTATTTGCAGCACACATAAGGACACTTGAACTTTCCATGGCACATCCAGCCATTTACTTACTTTCAATGGGAAACTTGTGCTTGCTTCACTGAACACAGCAGTTTTGATATGAGATGTCATAGTGCAACTCTAAGCTCATTTTCCACTGAGAGACGGCTTGGTATTCCTTCGTCTTGTGCACACCTAGTTTGCACAAACTTCGTCTTGTGCACACCTTGTTTTGTACCGTGCACACCAATCATCCACACTGCTAGAGGTGATGTTAGTCAGTTGTGGGTGTCGTACGTGTGCATACTACAACCTACGACCGTCACTTTAGGAGTGCTGTTCTCTCAGACTCCCAAGCGGAACGCGCTGCCCGACGTAACGGCGAGCAGGTACATGTAGACACGCTGAATCTTAGCTCTCCGGAGGGCTTTCTTTGAGGAAGTTTTCCGACCAAAACAGTGCTCAGTTCCGCCGCACTGAACGGCAGAAGTATCATCCCGAAGGTGAGAAGATAAGAGTGGCCATATCCGAATCACGGACTGCCGTTCTTCGGCGATTTCGAACTTCTGATGATGTATAAACATGCTTAAGCTTATATAGGCAGGCATCACGCATCACCCTCCCAATCTCGGATGAGGTGAAGGTGATAGTGCGGGGGAAGTGATGTAGCCCTATACAAAAACCGGTTAACTCCTTCCGGCTCCCTTGTGGGAACAGATTTTCCTTAGTTGCAAGAGTTCAACAGATACGAACAGAGTTAGGAGTTTTGTGCGTGTGAAAATGTGAGTGGGGAGTGGCGGTGAAAAGTGAAACTTCTGCATTCTGACAAAAGGCTAGACATTCGGGCATACCGAAGTTGAAGTTCGCATACATCTGAGGCATACCAATGCCTGATTGGAAGGGAAAAGGCAATGGTATTTCTTCTACACGTGGGCGACAAGGTCTACTGGGCATTTATCCTACTCGCCGTTACGTAGGGCAGCGTGTTCCGCGTTGAACATGGGAATGGAGAGTCTGTCCCTATCGGGAAATAGTGTGCACATAACGAAGTTGAGGTTTATGTGCGGTGTTCACAGGATTTGACAGTGTGCACAAGACGAAGGAATACCAGAAAGAATGCATGGGTCAGTGTTTATATTAATTACAATGTTTTCTACAAATGACAGCAAAAATTTTTTACGACTCCAATTTTGGGATTTAAGCAGATGGGTCAAGGTGGTATGGTGGTGGTAGGTTACAAGTTGCTCATTTATGTTTTCATTTCCATGTCAAAGCTATGAGACACCTACATTCATAATGCAAGGTCTCTTAGCACTAAGCTACATGCTAAGGTCCTTGCATCCTACTGTAAACTATCAGCATCAAGAAGTAAAAACTTAATTGTAAAGGTCAAGTAGGGCCAGTAGGGATGATACACCCAAGTGAAACCTGGCTACTACCAATTAAAGAGCCTGAGTAATTTTGAGAGTTCTTGAAAATCCTCATGGTCAATTGAGGCTAACAAAGCAAAAAACTTAGTGCTATTGCTATTTTCCCTAAGGTATCTAGGATGACCAAGCTTCATCAAAGATGGTCCAATACTATGAAAGATCTAGAAAATAGCAGGACAAGGATTCCTGCTTCTTCTGGGAAGCAAGTAACTATGACAGATTTCAACAAACAAGGTATTAATGGTCTCTTCACATGTTAGGAGTGTGGGGGGGAATATGGGGGCTCCATGAAATTGACACCTAGCAAGGGAATACTCTTGGACACGAGAGGAACAATGCAATGCCAAGTTAGTCCCTTCCTTGACTGCAATGAATGAACTTATTCATTTGAGAAGTGTTTGTGCGCCTAGTTGCATAATACGTCCCATAAGATGTGAAAGGCCTAAGGCTACGAACTACCATAGATTACAGGAACAATGAAGAGCGTCAATAACTTCACCTATGCCTAACTAATACATAAAGGCAGGTAAGCTTAAATCCAAGCACATAGGCAGTCAAAGTAATAGACACATCACGAAAAAACTGATGGCATGTAGGCCTAGCTGGTGAGAAAACGACGCGAACCTCCCCTATTCCAAACGCCAACTGACCCGTGTGCTGCATCTACATGGCTGGTTATGGGAGAGGATAAGAGGGAGATGGCTGCGAGGGTTTGCTGGCGAAGAGATGCTAGCGACATCTATTGGAAATTCAGTATGGCGGCCTCCACACTCGCAGTGTTCCAGTTGAGACTTGATTTCCTTCAGATTTGGCTGTAAGGGGAGGTCCTGAAAATTTTGTAGGGCTTTTATGAAATTTGAGAGAGAGCTCAGCTTACGGTTCCACGGAAGTTAAGTCTAGCGAGCTTATGAATGGAAGAGAAGGATTAGGATCTGATGCTATTTCATGCTCTTGAAATACATTTTCATAAGAAAGTCAGGATGGAGTCCGAATTTATTATCACGTCGGTGATTGTTCTTTTACCCTTATACAAAAATCGTGTCACACAGGTCATCTCCTATAGTTACACGAAAAAAATACATCATTTCAGTCAAGAATGAACTTTAGGCGCAGATGTCAAGAATTGACAGAAGTATCATGAAAATGATAAATAGGATCATATGCAAGCAATACCTTCAGTCTTCTCTTGAAGGCACCTATGAAAACTATTGTGTGAATGCCAAGAGGTAACATGCTTTAGAGGTCACAACATAGTCACATTTTTTTACTCATCAGTTATATCTTATAATGCTTTGGTTTGAGTTCAATCTATGACAGCTTTTGTACTTCATGTTCATTCCTCTGGAATGAGTGTTGAGGCTGCCATTAAGTTTCAAATTGTGGATGTGGATCAATGATTCAGAGATAATGATTGCTGGGAATGTCAGTACTTAACAAAAAATTTATAGAAAAAAAAAAGCCTATAGTGCTTCTTTATTTTGCAAATGATTATTCTCTGGATTAATAAAATATTTTTTATTAGAGAAATCCAAAGCCAGTTAATCAGATCTTTATTGCCAAGTTGTGATGTATATAATATGCTCTCACTTTCAGCTTGTCGTGATTCAGATTGTTGATAGTTGGCACTCCCAAGAGAGCCATTTATCAAGGTGCATACTCATAAGTTTTGTTTCCTGATCTATAGCAGTTGAAAATACAAGTGAATTTGCTTTGCTTCATCGTAAGATCAGAGTAGTTTTCTTGATGCTTAATGTTGGACCATTCACTGTAGATCTCAGGTTGACAGACTTATTGCTAATGTTGTTGGTTCAGCCTTTTTTATGTGAATAAAAAAAGTTGACCTTCAGTCATAATGACAGCCCTGGTGGTTCTATTGTTATGGGCTTGTAGAACATGCCACTGATTATGGAGGCCTAGAAGATAATTTCAAAAAAGAGGCACATCTATCTAAAGTGATGTAAATTTTGATGCTGGGACAGAAATCCCATTTGGTAAAGTGGCTTTCTGCATGGATTATCAATAGGTTGTTTCAGCAATTCCAGCAGGTGGGTAAGGAGAGAAGAATATAGAGTTGTCCATGGTGTCCAAGCAATCTACAAAGGGTGGAAGCACCATTTTGGTGGAAATACACCTCTGCATCAACTCTATTTGGCATGCATAAAGTGATTCCCACTATGACAGTCACAAAAAAATTATTGCTTGCAATAGTCCATTCTAGTTTTTATTGCTTAAGATAGTCCATACCATGGTCTTGCAATGTTCAGTTTACAAAACTGCATGTCAGACAGACTCCCGTAACTCCTTCACCCACCAGTTTTGAGACAAATAAGAAGTCAGTTTGAGATTTTTGCAGGTCTATCAGTGAAAGGGTTAAGTAAAATTGGGAAATACTGTACCCATTCTATCAACATATGGCATTTAGACACAGAGCTAAGGGGAGCGATTCGGAAGTTCACCTCTCAACAGGGTTCAAATAGGTGATTTATAATTAATATGGTATAACTAAAAAAAAAATTGCTAGTCATCAGAAATTTAATACATTATTGGCAAATATTAGTATTACTAAAATCCAAGATAAAGAGTTGCTACAACTATGCCTAACTGCTTAGAGTTTTGTAAAGCATGAGAACTAGATTAAAGTATTTGTGATTTCCAATGAAAGAGTGTTTGTTTTGTTAATCTTAAGTTTCATGTAAGAAGCATCACAGCAAGGTCTTTTCTAGATCAGATATATAGGGATCTTATCTGTTGATTTTATTGGGTTGGAAAGAAAGTCTTGCAACACTGTGCAAATTTTTCACAATTTTCTAACTTTATTGAAATGCAATTTCAGTCTACAATGTAATGACCATTGTTGTCTATGACATGTTCCCAACGCACGGGTAACATCTCCAGTAACGATTTCCTTCAGAAGGTCCTTTCTGTGTGGACGAAGGAGCAATGATTCTCAGACACTGACACGGCTTATTTTGTCGGAGTCGCTGAGCAGATGAGGGACCCATGTCGAGTAAACCTTCTGATAGCCGAGGTCGTTCAGATGGTTGCCGATGGCCATATGGGTGACTCCAAGTGTAGTCGCCAATTCGCGAGTAGTGGCGTTCGGCTTCATGTTGAGGGCGTTCCGCAGGGCTTCGTCAGAAAGTGTTGCAAGACTTTCTTTCCAACCCAATATAAAATACATTACATCATCAATAATGAGGTAAGATGAGGAGGCAATGGAGAGAGGCAGATAATTAACATAAAGGATGGAACAAAAGACACTTGATTTTTTACTAATTTTATCTAATTCTATATTTTGACTGAATAACTGGTACATAAGTGTAGTGTCATTAAGTCAGCCAGAATTAAATGTAGTGCAGTGTATCCTGATCTTGGGAACCATATATGGTCATTTTGGTTGAAGGTTATTCATGAATTGGTGAACTTTACTGGTAGTAGAACTGAACATCCACCTTCTTGTGGCTCTTATACGGGGTGTTCCATAAGTCCCTCGACACCCCCTTTTTTCTTGTGAATAATAGTGAAGAATAATGGCAGCAAAATAAAACATGCCATTTGAAACAACATTCATATTGACCCAATAGCCTTCATTCAAGAAACTGGGGATCATTTGGAGTTTAAGGGGACCAGTTTGAGTGTTATCGTTTTTTGAATCCAGAATGATGAGGTGCCAGGTGTGATGAGACATTTCATAGAGGATTTTTTGCCAAATCAGGCTCAAAAGTCCACAAAAAAAGTGTCATGTTTTTTCCACTTTGTTGGCATTAATGCACCCAAAAACTCATCACTAAACACTCTTCTAGCATAAAAGGGCCTTAGTCACTCATATCTACAAAAACAAATCTCAACCATAATTTACCTGAAACAAGAAAAAAAAAAGGAGGGAGGGGTTATGGGATTTATGGAATACCCTGTATGTGCACAATTGGAAGAGATAAGCAAAAGAAAGAAAACTGTTATGAAACCTTCATGTCATACTCACTGATTAATAGCCAAGCAAGAAGGCAGAGGGGAGTGACAACTGGCATACCTCTCCCACAGACTGGGGGGAGTCTAAAAATATATCTAAGTATCAGTCATAGATTGGGATCTCATTACCCTCTTCTCTCTTGGTGGTGATGTCCATCTGTGACTTCAACCCACTTAAAGTGATTGATACCCCCCTTCCCTCAGCCCTCCTCTCCCTCATTTCAGTGTCATCAATGTAGGACAGCAGATATCTGACAACCCCAGAATCCAAGCAGATATACTATCAATAAGGATGCCACAGAACCTAGGAGTTTTTGCCACCTTGCAGGATAGCATAATCTGTGTTGGCATATACCTGACAAGCCTTGGAAAATGTTTGTTGAACATTCTTCATTCTGAACAATCATGTGTGGATTGTATCTGCCTTCAAGTTTAAAAGGGTTCATTGCTCTTGATGTACAGACATAGATATATTGCTAAGATTTATTCAGCAGCAGGAAATTACTGTCACTGACTTGAATCTGCTGACTGTACTGTCCTTTTGGTCAACACTGTACAGATGAGATGAGTGACATGAATGATAAGATATATAGTCCTGGTATATATGACTTTTATGAATAACTGTTTGAAACCCTAGTAATCTCAACCTCTCTTTATGCATTCTAGATAGAATCTATGTGGAATGTCCATGCCAAAAGTTTTTTATATGGTCTCCTTTGGAGAGTTTTGTTTATACCTCAGCCCCTAAATGAATGCATAATGTTGGGAGTCTATAAAAACTAGATTAAATATATTGTTTCAGATTGGGCCTTTTAAGTTTTTCACTGCCATCCTCAGCAGATTGGAGAGACTTTCAAAATAAACTCAAGAGTACTTGAAAAATGCAAGGTCCTTTTAAAATAATTATAATGTAATTTTGTCAGAAAATTATTGATGGCTTTAGTGCTTGCTAATTCCTGGTGCATCCCAACTTGTTTAGCAAGATTCAGGTGAAATAGGTCAATCATTGGACTTGAAGCACTTGAGTCTTCCATTTTGTGACCATCTTTCAGGAGTCAATCAAATTTGTTATTGTCTTGAAATTCTAAAGGAAATTGTATGGCTTTCAGAGGATTTTGTGAGCAGAGGTGTCTAGTGTCCAGTAGTTCTTGGATGATCAATCTTATGATCAATAGATCTTATATGTGCAAAAGTAACCATCTTGCTATCCCCCTTGCTTGGATTCAACTTCTTGAATGGCTCACTTTTCAACCCTGACTCATTTACTTCAGATAAATTTTTAAAATAGATTAATTTAAATCTTCAATAGCTCGTTACTCTTGTGCAACACCAGTTTAACAGAAATGATGTAATATTTCCTGTATTACTTTGTAATTCAAAACAAGAGTAGCATCAAAGCTCTAAACTACTACTTTATATCTGAAAATGTAAAATTGCCATCAATTTGCTCTTTATACAATTGATGAGGTGTTGAGGTCACCATCCACTTTCTGAAAAGGTACTTGTTCATTTGTAAGGCTTCAGAGTTTATCAGGCAAGTGAATAAACAGATACTTCTAACTATAGCTCTTAACCTATGGGATGTTACAATATTGTCATACAAGCACTACCAAACCTGAACATTGGTTGCTGTCTTACTGTTGGTAACCATTAGGCTTGCTTGAGACAAACTTCTCATGCAGATCAAGGTAAACAGTAACCTTTGCATGAGCATTTTCTGAAGGCACCCCCTTATGGTAAGCAGCAACTGAAATATCTTGCATTTAATCAGAGATGTAATTATTTGACAATTTGGACCTCTGAATGTTATGTGCTTTGAGTATTATATAGTATGGATGGATGGATGGATGGATTTATTTATTTTTTTTTAATTCATCATCTTCAACACGTAAATAAATAGGAAAAATAAATCAATCAATCAATGAAAACAGTCAATAGTTTCAAGAAAGAAATGAAGTCATCTTCCTTCAGGGCTTTGATAAAAAAAATATCTTTGATGGGACTCTAGTCAAATTTTTGGAAGAGTCATACAGATACTGGTGTGGTAATTGAGGCTACAAAAACATTACTTACTTTGGGATGTAAAGGATGTTCAACAACATAGTAAGCCTAGGCCTAAAATTAAATAATCATACATGCTTAAGCCTATTTAGATGTATATCTTATTTAGGATGGTTCAAATTGTCTTCTTGAAATATTTGAATTTATAAACCACCAGGAATGTTTAAGAATGTAAAAAATTGCATTGTTTTTTAGGTGTTGGCAACTTCTGAATCCAGTAGGATTCCTAATATTACCCTGTGCCTCTTTTTGAATTTCCATCACATTTTTTTGTTGCTTTAGGTATTCAATGCAATGGCTCAAGGAATAACTGCAGTAATCAATGACATGCCAGGCTATGATGATACTGATTATAAGCAGATGGAAGCCATTGAGCTTGTATTTCTCACTATTGAAGAATCTGAATTTACATGGTGAGAATCACTTTGCCATTTGTTGATATTTTGCTTTTTGCTCTTCATTACTGGCTTGAGTCTGTTCCCAGGTTATGCGATGAAGGAGATAATCTCAATTCAATAACCTCATGGTTAGTCAGTGAAGATCATCCAGAAAAAGAAGACCTCCTACAAAAGTTAATAGACTTGAGACAGGGTGAGTTTTTGCCTGCCTAAGTGGCTAGCCAAGGCATGATGCAAAAATGTTTATTTTTTTTCTTGATGAGTACCTGAGCATACATTTTAAGTTGGTCTCAGTTGAGCATTAGAATCAAGCAAAACATTTGGCATGGCTCATCTTGAAGTGTAAAATGGCATTCTAATCTCAACACTGTCTTTGATTTAACCTCTATCTAATGTCCCAGAAAAAATGCAATAATTTGATCAGTAATATTTTCTTGCAGTTTCTGTTCTGTTCAAAGTTGACTAACCTTTATCAGTGTTAATAATAATTGCATACGTTTTGGTAAGGTATATGGTATGAGGGTTTTGTAGTGGGTTTGGCAAAAGAAAGAAAGCAAAGTCTACCCCTCAGTGCAATGGAAAGAGAGCCCTTGGTTCTACAAGTTGTTGCTAACCGGTGTTTGTATTTTGCCAGAATTCTCATTGGCCCTTTCCAGACCATCCCTGTTGGATTGTGTGCTAGGGATTGCTAATGCATAACATTAATGCATTCAGCAAGTCATTGCGAAAATATTTCCTGATCCTATGATGAATCTTTACCTGAAACTTGTGATGAAACTTTTAAGAGAGTTTAGACCCCTGCAGTTCCTCCAAATAGGCAATTTTATGGCATGAAAAACCTGAAGAGTGAAGGTTTTCAAATTTTTTATCTTTTCATTAGCTTAAAAAAAAATAAATACCTTCCTGTTAGGCAAGAGTGGAAAAAGTTATATAACCTGGTTATCAAGTTGCTGGAAAGGAGATAACATTCTAAGGTAAATTCAACTGCTTCTGATTTATGCTGTCCCTCTCATCATGCAAATGTGAACAGCCTTCAACAAAGCTAAATATCTGCTAAGACAACCTTAACCCCTTTACAGGGATGTTTTCAGACACAAATTGTTTTTGAGATGAGACCAGCTTGTCCATGCCAGTGAAGGAGTTAAATCGTATAAGTGTGAAATATCTTGGATACCATATACTATCAGTTTATGATAGCTTTGGTGAACTGATAGCATGTAGTACTTAAAAAAAAAAAACTTCAAAATAAATTATGGTAAACTTTATTGTCTGCTGAATGCCAGCAGATTTTTCCATCCTTCAGTATTGATATGATTAATGGTTGCTTCTGTTTTCCCAGGTTATGTGTCACCTGTGAGAGCATCATTGCTGCATCATTGCACTGATCCCTCCTCAGGAGTTGGTGCTCCCATATGTATGCCTTCTCCCATCATCTCCTCAACACCTCAGAAGCATGTCTCTTCCAAGTCTTCTTTGAGTGAGTGTTCCTGTGGTAATAATTCTAAGGGATCACATTGAATTACTTGCAGCCAATAAATGAAGTGGATATTCCCTCTATTGTCTTAGGTGAAACCAGCTTTAGTTCCGCCACTTTCACTCGTTCACCACGGAAGCTCAAGTTTGTTCAGCACTCTGTTGATTTGGAAGAAAACCACAATCGGACATATATCAGGGAAGCAGAAGCTTCACCAGTGAATGATATGCACAAGGAGCTGTTTAGATTGGAAGGGACAATGTCTTCCCCCAATGTTGCAACTCGTCTTCCCACGATTGACACATCGACATTCACTCGACGAAAGAGTCGAAATTCTTGTGTGCTGCAGGGGTCTTTGCTCAACAAAACATTCACAGCAGATGAGAAGCAGGAAGAGATTGGTGGGGAAGAGGAAGATGGACGGAGCAGTGCATCAAGTGGTGGTTACCGTCTTTCTGATGTTGAGGATGTCCAGAATGTTGCTAGACTCCAAGAAGAGAGTAAGCCCTCACTCCTTACTATTTTCTAACACAAATTGGATCAATTTTAAATATAACTATTTTGCACTCTCCTGACCAAAAGTCTTTGTCCATTGGAAATATCATTAGGTTTGTTCTTGCATACCTTATGCAGGCAGAGTTCTTGACCACAGAGTGAGACAAAAGTCTTGAGATGCCAGGATCTTAGGTATAAGAATAAATTTGTCACCTGTCTTGTAAATATAACAGAACCAGATGACATTTGCCAAAGGACATTGCAGTTGGATTTAGGTAATTACAGAAATTGGTAAAAATGGATCCTCTCAGAATACTCTATGAGTACTGATTAGTGAGTGTCCATCCATATTACTTCCCAAGGCCTTTCCAAAAAAGGAGCATTCCAAACAGTCTCCAATCGTGTCCACTCTAGATCTGGATTAGTGGATGAAAATGTCGGTGTGCCTGACCAAATTTTTGTATTGTTACAATAAGTAATACAGTGATTTGCAATTGAATTTTTACACCCTTTAATGAGGGCTTCATAGGTCTAACACCACTTCTTTCATGGGAGGTATCTCTCACCTCCTTGCATGCCAAATGGTAATAACTTGTGCAAATTAAACATAGTACAAATTCATTTGCAAATCACACTTGTTAAAAAACAATGTAATGAAATGAATGACTAACCATCTGGTGGTTACTTGAATAAACGAGGGTCTCACAACTGTAAGGTGGTGCCCTAATTACTGCTACAGTAAGTCATTTCTGGTGAATGCTGGAAATTCTCAAGAGGAATCCATATTAGCTTATAGGAAGTAAAATGGGTTCACCTTCCATGGTGGTGTTTCATAGATAAGGCCAAGAGACCCTGGAATTAATTTTTATTTGGCTAATTGCCAAAAATATGTTAAGGTGTTTAATTCGGTTTGTTGATGGCATGTGCCTGGTTAGGTTGAGCCCATGGAAATTTTTATTTGACTAGTCAAGATCTATATGATCGTTTCTGCGGTATCAGTAGATGTAATTGGGCACACATGGCCATAGGGTTTTGGGTATGCCCCCTTGCTTAGTCACATTTATACATATTCAAATGATTCTGTTCCTATATCCCTATTTCGTCTGCTACTTGAAAAATTAGTCAATATGGGATGGGTGGGAGCAATATTCCAAAATATTTGCCATTTTGATTTTTCTAAGCATGAACTTGAATGTGATTTAAACTTGATGACAAATTAAAATGCAAATTTGTGTTTGAAAGTTTTTGTGAAGAACATGGTGTATTTTTGAAGAAATGCATCATTATGCAGTGAATCTTGTAAATGGGAATTTAAGATTTTTTTAGCAGTTTTTCATTAAAAAATTTTTCCCCCACTGTATGAAATGCACATGGTTAACTGCCCTACAGGATATTGTGCAAAAATCTAGAAAGGGTGAAGACTTGCAAGTGCACTTTTATGGAAATGTTCATGCACAAGACTGAACCTCGTTACAAATCATGGAATTACTGGCTCTCATGTACTTATGAGACCATCTTTGTACTGGTTCTCTTCTGGGAGCTGGGAATCCAACACTGATTTGATGCAAACTTTCATGCTGTCTTTCCACTCTTGCTGCCCAGCATACTGATACCATACCATAGGCATGACCTTAACACCTTTGGGTCAGGGACTTGAGAATGGCTTTGACAATCTTTGCCATTGAATCACTTTCAGGTCTGAAAAGAATTTCTTCTGGAGATTTCAGCTTTGTAGGAGGTGAGCTGTGCATGACCCATATCTTGGGAAATGTCTTTTGTCTGCCCTTGTCTTTGTCTGCATTTTATTCTTGCTTGCTTTTATCAGCAATCTGAAACATGCATTCTTGAAACCACAAGAAATGACAGTCAGGAGGAAGAATTAAGAAGTTTTAATGACTTAAGATGAAGACAAGGATGGAATCGAAGCCCTATCCTTTACAGTTCTCATTTTATGATCCAGGTGCAAAATAAGTTTTAACACTTGCAGCCTAGTGATTCCATGTGGAATCACTTCCCTTATTTTTCTATTCAGAACATTCTTGCTCAAATATTTCAATTGAAGTCATGACACCTTGATTCGGAGTATATTTTGTGCAAGGTTGGCACCTGTGCAAGTTGCTCTGAATGCTACTGTCATCCATGAGTTTCTAAAATAAACTAAACCTGCAAAATAAAATTTGAGCTGGAAATGGTTAACAAAAACTGAAACAAGAGGACTTACAGAATATCCTACCAAACTTTAGTGGGGCCCTCTCACGTCCTTCACTTTCCCCTCAACCTCCACTGTCAACAACCCTCCTTATGCATATTTATCATTATTTCACTTGTTGATGTCTCCACTGCCCCCATGCACAGGCATTAGTTTTCAGTAAGCTATGGGAATTTCTGCTGCCTGAGGAAGTTTTTAGCTCATGGATGGTACCCTGCATGCAATGATGCCTTTGTAACTCTGGTTTATAACCCATTTTCTTGAAGTAGATTATGCTCTGTTTTCATATTTCCAAAATGTTCCTCCACTGTTGGGAGTATTTAATAAATTTTACATGCACATGCTTCTGTAATTAATTTAGTAGGCATGTTGCATATAGTCTATAGAGTACAGTATAATATACAAGCATCCTATTGTCTGAGTTGTCCTTTGTATACAGGTCATACTTGCATGTTTTTAGTACTCAATTTTACAAATCAATGTGTAAATGTAGTATTTCCAGACTAAAAAATTATTCATTTTTAGAAGGATGAAGTCTAAGAATCTCTTGCTGGAATTCAGATGCAAGATGTAACAGAGGAGGAATAATATATAACAATGGAGAATGTATGAGGATATGGTAGGCCTACTGAAGTATTTGGGTCAATGTGTGAGCCAGTAAGTCCTCAAATGCATGGTGAAAGAAAGGAAGAGATTCATCAGTCAGTATGGTTCAAGGAGGTCTCTGAGTCCCAGAATACTACTTGGTGATTCAAAAGAAAGGGCACAAAATGGCCATGGCAAATATTTTAGCAGTCAGCACAACACTATATGTAGAGATTGTTTTATATCAATCAAAAGAGTATAATTTGCAATTCACATGAGAATTTTCATTCATGTTGAACAATTCTCATTCCCATGGCAATTTCAAAACTTGTGTTCAAAATAGCTACCACTTGCTTGCACACATGCTCAAAGATGTGGTCTCCACTGTTGTATGCTGGTGTCAAGGAACTTTGTCTTCTCTCTCTCTCTCTCTCCAATGATGTTTTCCGTAAATGCACTGTAGGATCCAGAAATCCTCATCAACTGGGTTGCTTTTGCATGTATGTTACAATTTTTGAGTGTTTTGTGAGTATGGAGTAGTTGAGCCGTGAAACAGTGTTTTGGGACTCATTGACAAGTTCTCCTACTGTCTTCATCCAGTCCTGAAACATCGCCTCAAGGGACAAGAGGACGAGGAAGAAGAAGAGGAGGATAGTGGGTACTTGCCCCCCAAGCTAGACTCAGAGCCATCCAGCATGGCATCAAGTCCATACAGTTCTCAGTCACTTGATAGCAATGATGCTGCTCCTTTGCCTCTACCAAAGCCAGGTATACATTATCAACAATCTCAAAATTTGATCACTGAAAAGCATTTTCTCCTGATTTGTTTCTTTCTATTACAGAAATTGGAAGAAGCATGCCAAACTTGAATCAGGTGAGGCTGTCTAGTGCAGCCACACGGTCAAAGCTCAGCCTTCCCAAATCCCATCTACCATTCAAAGCTGGAGTTCAGTATAAAAGTGATCCCAAACTGGCTCCATCACACAATTCAAGGAAGGTGATATCTTCATCTTCAAGGGGAATGTCTACACCAAGAGGGTGTGGCAGAATCCTTCCTCAGGCTCCCTCTGTGCCTTCCTCTCGCCATCATGCCCAGTTCTCCACTCAAACCAAGGTATCTGTGAGAGAATTTCCTTCATCCCTGAATACAAACTTTGTGCAAAAATTACAAATGGAATTTGCTGGTGTTGATGCAGAGGAGGGGAACTGTGAGTGCCACATCAAGTCACTGTTATGTTGAATCATCTAATGTGATGAGGAGAACAGAGACCAGAGTGAGCAGCACATATCAGTCAACAGGGACATCAATCCCTAGACCACAGTGTCTTTCTAGACTTCCAGCTCCCACATTCAGGCAAGTTTAAAGATGTTTTGTTTAGAGATGCCTTGATATTTTATCATTTTTTTATATTGGCTGTTATTAGGTGAAGTTGATAATTTGACCAAATACAAAATTTGACCTGCCAATAACTGATACTGGAAGGACACCAGAAGTATGCTAAACACCAAGCATACATAGTGAGTGGTGGATATTCACTCATGTTTCTCATGGGAAGGTCTGCCATGTTTGAATGAATTTTTTTATTATTATAAAACAAGAAGGTATTATACAAAGTACTTTTTTTTATTACCAATGCCTCTTATGGCAAAGGTGGTTCGTAAGCTGATATCTGGTATGTCAATATTCCAAAATACTGATATTGAAAAAAAAAAACAAAAATGATACTGATAGCCAATACCAATATCTACTTCCACATGTTCAAGTGCTAAGAATAGATTCCAGTGAGGACATTCATGAACACATAATTTGTATCATGAGAACCTTTTTGTTTATTGCAGTTTTATGGACAAGGGGAAAATGCAAAAAGCAAGGGATCCATCACGTTTCAATGGGGATTAAAAAAAAAAAAAGGTATAATAATGCTCTTGGAAGATTCAAAACAGTCACAGAAAAAAACCCACAACTCTCCAATAGGAGAATGGCATTACCACTCAACTGCTTGGTTTTTTTCCTTATGGCATTCCAGTATTGCCCTGTTTTTTTTTAAATTTTTTTTTTAAGTTCTATGGTAAATTCCTTTCTTTAAAAAAAATAGTTAATGTTTTGGAATTTCTTACCTTTTTTTGCTGGTATTTAGTGGAAACTTATTGAAAAATTAATATCATTGCATCTCTAGTTTGTTTTTGTTTATGAATTTCATTTGAAAAACACAAAACTTTTTCCATACAGGGGTGGGATGACTAGAAATCCACGTGCCTTTCCCACTTCCATTCGACCTGTTCCGCCCAGCTCAAGTGATCATAGACAGGGAGGAGGCTATTTCTGATTCCAGGGAGGATGAATGTTCATGCGTGTTTTTTTATTATTTTTTTTTTTACGTCTGTCTCTCGTTTACTTTACCAGTCTCTGAAGTGAATGGTTGAGGTGGAATTGCCATCCATTCAGCATGCCTGCTTTGCAAACATTTTTCCTGGTCAAGTGTGATAGAGTGTAATTGTGATCTTCCAAAAGGGAAACCATGCATGTGCTACATTATTTAAAGCCTTTTTTGTACTGTATTTATATCATATTTTTCTATTTAAGGGAGTATTAGAGTGACTTCTCTCTCAAGTGTTTTCCATTGCATGGAGTGTACCATTTCTCCCATCCAAACTGCTTATCTCAAAAAAAGGAGCATCAAAAAGTCATGTCATCATGAAGGCAGATGGATGTATTGCCAGATAGTTTCCATTGCTTCTTTTGGGCATATGATTGGTTCATCTTGAAACCAATTACTAATGTTATTACTAGTGCATGAGGTGGCTCTTTGTTTGGTTCACTTATGTTGTTCCATACTTTATCTGTGCCATGTTCAGTGACTTTTGACTCACCATACATAATACCTGGCTTCCCAGTAAGAGTGTTTACTCCATGTGATTACTCAGAAATCTGTTCTCCCTTGGATCTATTTTAAAGGATAGATATACAAGGCGTTCCTTCTTATTTTGCCCACTGTTACAGTTTATTTAATTCAATATCTCGTGAAACAAATTTTTAGGAATAATTATGTAGCATAGTACCCAGAAATTACTATAGATGCTGTAACCATATGCCATTGGGTTTTTCTGGTGCAGGCAAACAATGGTCACCCACAGCTCTAGTGCACATCTGGACTAACCATACATCAGACTCAGAACAACTGCCTGGAGTCCTACTTGGTATAGGAACTGCAAAAGACATCTTGAATGCACTTCTATTCTTTCAGCTTGTCCCCTCTATCTTGAACAAGTGATAGCAAATTCATTGCTGACCCACAAGTAGGACATTTAGTTTGCAGCAATTCCCAGTATTGTACTACATTTACATGGTTGATATTAGATGGGACACCTTGCTTTTTCCAATTTTCTGCATTTTGCTCATAAGTACCATCCAATATAGTCTCTATGGTGGACTTCAGGTTCTCTCTGCTTCCATTGGGATTCTCAAGTCATCTTTTCTTATAAGTAATTACAGTGAAAGTTTATTTTAAGAAATTTTTTTGCATTATTTTTGTTGGCATACTGTCTCATTGGTCATGAATTGCCACTTCATGATCACTCAAAATATTTTGCATTTAAGATCTGAAATGGTCTAATTTCTAATGTATAAACCTCTCATCCCAACATATCCCACCAAGGAACTCAACAAGGTTTCTAATACTGAGGTTTTTACTGGTGCTGAAGAGGTCATGAATGGCATTTAATAGGATTTTACTTACAACTTATTTGTCAGCATATCCCAAAGCTATCCTTTTGCCCTGCCTTATATTCTGGTCATAAACAAGGCCAAGAAATAGACAATGCGCCTCAGAATTTAACAAGCACATGGTTGTTTTTCTTTCTGATCTATGCAATAAATGCTGTTTGCTTCCTGTGCTCTTTCAAATGCCATTTTGTTTTCCAGGGAAGTGAAAGTTCTGTGAAAACAGCTCTTTATTCTTCAGTAAACCCATTGCTTGAAAGAAGGCGGCATCAATCCTTGTGCAAAATCTGCATTTACATGGAAGACTGACACAACCAGGAGATTCTCATGAATGCTCAAAATCTGATTCAGAACTGAACAAACTCATTATCTTACTTCTTTTTAGGTTCAGAGAAGATTTTTTTTTCCCTGAATCTTAAAAAAAAGTAATAATTCCAAATCCATGTTATCACAAAGTGAGAAGAATGGTGTGGGCAAAGAAGAGCAGAGATCTTCATCAAGTGTCACAAGATGTCCCACCAAGAGAAAAAATACCTGCCTTGTAAATACAGGTCCTTTAGCCTTAGTGGCAATATAGTGGCCACAAAATTTTTTTGGCTGAGACAGAAGAAATCAAATTGAGTTGGATAAATATGGGAAATAAAGAAAATTGGTTTGAAAGCTCTCTAAAAATAAAAAAAGAACTGAAGTCATGAATTTTCTTTTCCTTGCCAATTGCTCAAGACTCAAGTGTTTCACTCAAACACAGCAACCTTTTTCAAACTCCCAGTAAAATCACAAAATGCCATAATCCTTTGGATGATATGCATACAAGAGAACCAAAAATACAACATGACCAAAAATAGTTTGCCAGTTGTACTTCTGCATATAGCTTTCTGCTATACAAGTACTTCTACTAAAAATGCAAGAAAAACATCCAAATATGGGATTATAATAATTTAAACACACTGGTATGGTCAATAAATTATCTCTGCTCTGTAAGGGGAAGAAGCTCATGGGATGAAAAAAAAAAGCCCTAAGTCTTCATATCATCCAGGAGAAAAAACTCATAAGGTGAAATAGGCAGTAGAAGGACGGACACAAGAATTCAAAACTTTGAGAAAGGAGCAGGGGAGGCTTGAACCTTTTTCAAAGGAGACAGAGAGGGAGGAATGTCTTTCATTGAATTTTTTTTTCTTTCTTTGCTTTCTCCATTGGCTTCCCTCATTCAGTGTATCACATATCAAAGAACCGACCTCTGTCTCAACTTGGAACAGGGATGGCACTGGTAAAAACTTGTGGCTGGATCAAGCACTCATGTTTTTACTTTGTTCTTCTTGCTCAGAAACAAGAACCCACGCTTGCTGCTCTTTCCACTCTTCTTCACTGAATCCTCGCTGATAGATGTTGAGTCGCTACCACCATCCTCTTCTACTCTGTCCAGATTTGAATCAGTACTTGCATGATTCAAGGCAGAATCAGAATTTGCCTTCATAGCCACCTAAATAGAGGGTGCACATTGGTACTTTTTCTTTAACAATTGAAAATTCAGTATCATTCATTAAATCAAAACTGACATCATTCTCAGTGGATTTTCCATGCTGAGAATTATGTGTGGTTGGTTCAACATCCTGGCTGAAAGACTTCACCATTTGTGTGGTCCTCTTCTTCTGAATCTGTGGCTCACAACCATCTGCTCCCTTTGATGGGCAGTTTGGTTTACTGTCACAACCCAATTTGGTAGAATTACCCATCTGAATCAAGGGCCTCAAGCTCAAGACAGAAAGAAAGGGAAAACTTACATTTCATCATTGTTGCAAGAGTAATCTTTGGCATTAGAGGCAAGTGACACTTGTCCCTCACTGGCAGTTGATTCTCGTGACAGCTCTCTACCTTTGTCCTTCAGCCTATTCAGAGCTGCTGAGGATTTGGAATGTGTCTGGGTAACCCCTAAGTAATTTCAAAATCTCAAAAGTGAAAATTTATCATCTGTACTTGAACAAGGAAACAAAAAATTAAGCAGCCGACCTTGGGCATATGGTAATGAAGGCATGGTTTGGCTGTGTGGGAGTGAGTATTGACCCATTGAACAACTTGCTTCAGAGTTCAGAGAGGACCCACTGTCACGAGATGGAAGCATCTTGGTGCGATGACGTGTTGGGTAGGTCTTGCGGGTCAGACCATTGCTCCCAATCCCTGTCCCAGTTCCCACTGTGGTCAGAAACATCAGTGCTGAGCTGGAGACCAGTTTTGATACTTCCCGTGTTCCAGTGCAGGTGAAGCAGGATAAGCAGACAGACACAACAGGAAAAAAGAGAGAGAAAAAGACCAAAAGCCAAATTCTGTTATTTCAGGCTTAGATGGATCAGCATTAGTAAGCTCTTTCTGACTCTCATTCAATGCATGCATGTCTCATATCAACTAGGCCAATTGAAAAATGTTGACATAAATAAACAGCAAATAGAAGCAGAGTGCAACAGACATAACAGAATGTAGAGTATGACCATCAGGGCTGCATTATATTTTTATATACTAACTACATCAATCAACTGCTGCGATATCATTCTTGTTCTTTTTGATCTTCCTGGTAATGATGACCTCATTCTTCCTATGGACAGATCAATTTACATTACAAGCTACACATAGCCTCAAATGATTCTTAGTTACATTGTTGGAAAGAATCTTCCTATCCTCATGCAACAAATTTTCAACAATTATGAAATACACCAGCCTTGTCCTTCAGAGCTTGTCCTCTTCCTTGATCAATTTTAATTCATCCCTCACTCACTACCCCTCTGATTCTGCCACACAACATAATGAAGGTCTTGATGCTCCCACAGTCTTGCTTGGATACCACCCCAGACATTTGTCCATCAAAATATTAGATTGATGAAACAGGAAGATGAGTCTAAGTTTGCTGAACATTTTCCTGTGTACCTTAAAAGGTCAATAAAAATGAAAGCTTAGTTTTATCTGCCATACCTCTCATCTTGTCCAAGACCACACTCACATATGAGTCTTACAATGTGGTCAGTCTTAGGCTTGATACTGACATGGTGTTCAATACTGATATTTTTCTATTCTACTGCTACAGAATTCAACTAAGCAAACCATATCCCTTAGGGGCTGGCTCATGATGAAATCAAGAATAATGAATGCCCTTCCTTCTTTCAAAAGAAAAGCTTCAATGTAGCAGCATTTTTCTCAGGAAGAGTCGAATATAAAATATTGACATGGAGCTATAATCAGATGACAAGATCATAAACATATGTGGGAAAGAGAACCTATGGAGCTGGTCATAATCTCAAATGTACTGCACAGGAGGAAGGGTAAACAATCCTCAAAAATGTTAGTCAGGTAGAAGGGCAGTGGCACCCATAATATCTAAGACTCAAGCATTGATCCTTTAAACATCAAGAAACAATTCAGTGGAAAAAAAGAAATATTTCAGGAGGGATCAGAAAGGAATTTCCTGAGTATTCAAAATTTGATATTTTAATAGTCAGCCTTCCTTGATGATGAAATTCAATCAAATTTCTATGAAGAATATCAAGTTGTCCCTCTATCCTAGAGTTTATGTTCCCTAGAGGTAGGATGTATCCACTCAGACTTGGAAGAGGAAAGGAAGCATGTCAAGTGTGCTTCAGGTCAAAGGGAACATTGCTAGTTTATGGCCAAGCAGAAGGGCAAAGAATGACAACTGGCATACCTCTCCCACAGGCTGGGGGGGGGAGTCTAAAAATATATCTAAGAATAGGTCTAAAACAATATGGTTCCTTCTCATCTCTCCCTATACCCTCTTCTCCCTCATTTAAATGCCATTAGTGTGGGACAGCAAAGACACCATACATCTCAAGAACAGGTAGCATGGACAGTTAACTGACAGACTGCACAGCATAAATGAGTGAGACATTCCAGTAGTGTCACTATCTATGCATCCACTAGCATACACTTCTCATAATGTACAAGACCTCAGAACCTTTCCCCCTCCCCAATACTTAGAAAGGTCTGCAACAGTGATTAAAGCCACCTCACTCTCCACTCAGATACCAGAGAAGAAAGCATTGCCTTACTATTGGCATTATATCTATGGGTCTGCCCACCATGTCAGATGTGACATCCAAAGTAATGTTTGACATACAAAATATATTTAACTATGTTATAAATGACAAACCAACATATAAAGGCTGCAACAATTTGCCTCAGGCATTGACTGAAATTCCCATAATTCAAAGCCTTGCATACTCTCTTTTGCTAGAGGTGTACCTGTGTGCAAAGAAAAGTGTCAGGCATGACATTTCGTGAAACCTCAGGTTAAAGTCACTGGCTTTAATGTTCACATTTCTACCATACAGTGGAACCTAATAACTTAATATTACGTTCATTCTATAGATTAAATGAAGGCCTGGAATTAGTGCAAGTCACCCCAAGATTACAATGCTTAGAAAAGACAATAAGGCTATTTTGTGACCATGTCGGATGTGACAGGAAAGTGTTGGAGGTGACATGTTCTGAAAATGTATTTGAAAACGAGAAACCTGAACTTATTTTTAAATGTTATTTTAAAGATATCATTCAAATGTGAACAAGTGACATCTATTCTCCACACCTGAGAACCTATGCTGGCTGATTCAGTCTCTCCATATTTGCATTTCCATCACATCCATGAATATCATGAGAATAGTATGAATAATATGTGATAAACAAGACTAATTCTTTCCCTTTTCAATATAATATTCTAGTTCATTCATGCCTTCTGGGATGATGAACTTTTGTAGTGAATATAATACTGTATTTGCTTATTTAGAGAAATTTCAGGCTAAAATCCTCAGACCTCTCTCTTAATCTTGAAGGGAGTCCCAAACAGAAAGAAGCAGGTTTAGAGTCTACTACCTGCATATGGAGAAATAAGCACCACTTGCCACAAGTGTTGATTAACACCTGATCAATTTTAACCCTTTAAGCTCTGTGAACAGGTATACATGTTTATAGTAAGCTGTGCCTTTGGACTGTTGTCGTGTAAACACATCCTCAGTTTCTGACACCTAGTACTATCATCACGTATACATGACTGTAATATAACTTTTAGTAGACATGCTGACATCTTTCAGCAGTAATTTAAAACTTTTTGTAGAATTTTCCAAAGTATATTTTTCAAACAATAGGCATCATTCTAACATAGTTTGAATAAACAAGAATGTTAAATTTTCATGTCACATTATTTTATAGTAACATAATACTGACAATATCACATTTTGAAAAACTAACTCACACTGTGGGTGCAGATAGTGACCATACAAGTCAGTACCTAAAGGGTTACTGATAAATATAAGAAAAACTGAGATCCCAAGCTGTATGTGAGCAACATGACTGGATCAAAGAGTGATCAATTGCATGCTGGAAAGAATGAAATAGTAAACCATAGTGACTCTGAGACATGGCTCTCCATGTCAACCCTTGCTTCCTGGAATACCACACTCTAAAGCACTGCCAAGGTGGATGCAACTTTGAATCACTCATACTCGAAGGCACTCCATCTTATACACCCTATTTTTTTGCCTAAACATCAAGCACACCCTGAAAAAACCCAAACCAGGAGGCATGACCAAGCATAAAAAACTCCATACTGAAAGGGTTAAACATCCCATTTCAGGCACTCAATATGAGTTTACTGAGAAAAAAAAAGAGATTTCATGCAGCCCTAATGACCTCTGATAAAATATTTTCAAATGGATCAAGAGTGCCTCCATCACAAGTATGGGTTCCCTATCCATGCCAGAAACTTGCTTAACCCTATTACAGTGATGTAGGAGTATGTTTGCCTAGATTCGGTTTTTCAGTATGTATTACCACAGTCATTGAGACACACTAGTGAGCAATGGCATTGCTAGGATTTCACCATTGGGGGGCCCAAGTGGAATAGTGGGGGGGCTTACTTCTCCTTACCCAGGAGGGGGGGGGGGGGGCAGATGTATTTAGACTGGAATTGGGGGTGGGGCCTGAACCAAACTTAGGGGGGCTGAAGCCCCCCCAGCCCCCCCTCACTACACCACTGCTAGTGAGAGCTGTCACTGAAATTATGACCAGAATAACACAGTTTTTTGCAAAATAACATAAAAACAGAGGTCCACCCTAGGTCATAGTGATAAGGTTAATAATCCAGCATGTATCAAAACAGAAAAGGGAAACGTTTTTCCAGTGTAAACAACCACCAATGTTAATACTGTGCAGCATGCAGAGAAAAGTACAAACTGTTACATTGCACAAGGAAGCGCCTTCACCAGCACAAAAGCCTTAAAATCTCACAAAGCCATAGTGAGAACATGAAAACTTACATTCATATTCATACTAGTAGTCATGGAAGAATAACTCATACTCATATTCACACTAGTGATCTAAAAGAGAACAACTCCCATTCATATTCACGCCATTAGTTTTTGAAGAAACAACTATCATTGTGTCATTTACAGAAAAAAATATGCTCATGATCATCCTCTTTGCTACTTCACAAAGTTCTGTCCATTTGCACCATAGGTATTGAGTGAATTCGTCAGAGATCACATGGCAATCAAGTAGTTTATTTAAATTTCTTATTTTAAAATGGGCATTACTGCATTCTTGACAAGAACAATTTTTTTCAAAAACAAGAATCACTTTCAGGGCTGGCACAGCTTTAGCATTTTCTCTCAAGTCCAATGAACTCAACCCAACCACCCCAAGTTGTTTAAGAAGTTCTAGTAGTATACTATGGTAAGATAGTCCATCAGAAACTCTCTTAAAAGTATCTCAATCTCAAGAGGGTCATTTGCAGGACAGGTATAGTTCAATTTCCAGGAAATGAGAACCTCATTATGTATTAGTGATCCCACTCTTACAATTCACAGTTTTCTTAACCCCTTTTCTGCATTGTGTCACTCTAACCCAGATCCTCACTTGATTTTGTGATCTTGATAGGGATCTCCACTCCTCCCTTCTTCCAGTTTTCAGTCAGGTAAATTCACTTTGAAGAAGGAAGAAGTGAAGAAATCCCACCTATGACAAACTGAACAATAAAACTCCAGTCATCCAGTCAAACTGAACAATAAAACTCCAGTCCAGTCATAACAAATGATTCCAATGAGAGAGAGTTAAACTGCATGCAACAAATGACCATATGATGAAAGTGTTAGAAATAGCATCCTATTCATCTCTGTGGTGGACTTTAGCTAATGAGAGAAAACTGCAGAGATAAACTTACCAGCAGAGGGTGCATACACAGAGACATTGTCATCATCCTCGTCCTGGCTTCCATTTGCCTTGGTCACACCTGCAAGGCCACCAACATCTCTCTCATAACAAAATGAACCAAAAAAAGAAGGCATCCTAGTTTTCATGGTGAAAAGGATAAAAGGGAACTCAAGGAAGCACCATCTTGATATAAGTGGGCTGAACCAAAACCCCTGAGCAAGGCTTCAAGATAAGGCAACCCAGGGTTATTCATGATAGGGCACCCACAGAGCATTTCAACCTGTTTCCAGCGATTCGTTCGCTCTTGCAAGTCATACGTCACCTCCACCAGTGCCGTCCTGTCATACATTAGCAGAAAACTTCAGTCAAACAATATTATACTCAAACAGTAAAGAAGGAAAGAGAGTGAGGCAGGAAGAATGACCTGGCTTGCATAATGGTGTGGTCCACATCATCCAGAGACCTCCCATGAGTGGATACAAAGGCACCAACCAGGTTTGTCCTCTTCTTTTTCAACTTCTCACACTGTGAGGCAAACCAAGAAGACAAAAATCATGCAAGTTCCAGTCCTTCAATGACTTGAAGCAAGTGAGGGAACTCACAGCATCCTTGGCAGCAGTCAACTGCCGCTCAGCAGCACACTTCTTGGCATTGAAATATTTGAGCTCAATTTCATATGTGAGCTGAAGCCAGTGTTGAAGTTGAGGAGGAGCAAACCAACACCGATCTTGGAGTTCAGTTTCAGCTCGCTCAAGTTCACGGCGCACCACAGAGAGCTCCATTTGGAGGCGCATAACCTGTTCCTCAAGCGTGGACTCCTCACCTTCACCCTCAAGAGAGAGCTTGGCCTTAATCTCCTTGCGGATCTGCTTCTCAAGGGCTTTCCGTTGCTCCTCTTGAGACTCGTCATTGTCCTGGATCTCAGGTACCTGGATCAGCTGCGCATGCATTGCCTTGAGAGTCTCCTCAGCATGACTCAAGGATTCCAGGTCCTTCAACACTTTCCTCAGATGAGTCTTTGCCCTCACATTCTCACGGTGTGCATAATAGTAGCCACCCAAGGCCAAAATTAGCAGCACACTCAAGATTGTCTCCTTCCAGAAATGCTGCTGATCTGCAAAACCCACTAGATTGTGAATCTATTCTTTCAGATATATGTGCATCGATCACTGGTACATGTATATCTAGCAAGATAAAAGGACTCACCTTTGGGGGCACCAAACAGGACAACATCCATTGCCTTAAGAGCAATCTTCTGGCGATGAATGGGATCCTTGATCCGCATCACATCAGAAAGGAATCTTGCATTTGTTGCCAAGCTATACCACGGCACAGGAAAGCACAACATTCTCATTCCGAAGTCATCACACCCCTCAAAAATTTATTTTATGAAGTAGGCAAAGTAATGACAGCAAAAAGAGAATCACAGAAGAATTAAAAAAATAATTATGTCAGGAGGAACGAAAGGCATGATTTCACGCATGGCATAGGATCTAGATGGAACTCACATGGGGAGAGACATGCCATCAATGGCATTTTCTATGAAATGCTGTGAATACATTGGAAGATCGACAAATGAGCGGAGCCATTCCACTGTCTGCTCCACTGTCCAATTCCGGACCTGAAGGGAGTATTTCCACAAATGCAGAACTTGTCAAATGCAGTCACCAAGTGGAGCCATTCAAATTTATATTGAAAAAAAAAAATTAAACCAAACCTCTGAGTGCATCCAAGACTCCCAGAGATCCAAAACTGAAATGTACTTGTCATTTTGATGGAAGGCTTGTTGCCGCCTTTCATATGAACCACCACGATACTGGAGCTCCTCCCTCAAAAACTGTAGTGAATAAGGAAAAGGAAGAGTAAAGAAAAGGTTGAAGATTACGGAAATCATCACAGCTCACATTTCAACGTCATTTTTAGTCATGCAGTAAAGAGGTTCATCACAGGGATTCAGCTTTAACATGTGCGAAACAGGAGGGAAGTGATTAAATGTCCCCATCTGCATACCCACTATATATCAAATGCTCAACAGAGGTAAGTTAAAGAAGCCTTGACAGGTGGTGTCTTATTTCTGGGACCCTTCTACATATTTAAAATATACATCAGACAGAATAATTACATTTACTGTACTTTTACAAGGAAGCAAAAAATCGTTGTCACCTTTCCTCTTCATTTCTGATATGACAAGAGATAAACACTTCCGCAGATATATAAATATTAGCCCTCTTCAAACCTTCTCGCTGCATGTAACTAGTGACGCCCAAATCCAATCAGAACTGGGATTTCTTCTTAACCTCAGATTGATCAGGGTTAATATGAACTTTGAGCATTTGTGAACAGGCGATACTGCTTGACCCTACCAAGTCTTGATATGCAACAAATGCACTCGACGCAACACATTAATCACATGACCCCATGAATTGTTTTGCACGCTGTTTTTATTTCACAGAAAACATACTGAATTCATCATAGTTGTGAGGGCCACCTGCACGCCATTTTCAGGAAGCCAGGAAGAGGCATAAAGGGCAGACCCGACCACCTCGCCCAATGTTCCCGACAAGAAATGGCCCCGCAGACCTCTCACGCTTACGTCAGAGTGCAAAGTCCTACAGAAAAGTGACTTCCTCGACAACAATCCACTGTTCTAATAGCAGATTTATACGGGGGATTTCTAAGGGACAAGGTGTCCGGTAAATTTCCCCCGACGGTCAATTCCCCGAAAGGTTCTTTCCCCGACTGGTCGGTTCCCCGCTTGGAAAATCCCCAACAAGTAAATTTCCGAACGGTGAATTCCCCGATGGTGGCACAAAGGTCAGACAGCACTGATACAATGCAATCGAAAATACAGAAGAATAGATGAGTCCCTATGAATAACAAGTTTTTGTTTACAATGGACTTATTTCCAGATAATAATGTAAAAATTCCCATCTCGCACATGCAGCTAGGAATATAGGGGATGCGGTCGCTCCCCAACCGAACCGGGAAGAGAGGGGATCTAAGCGAAATGAAGGAAAGGGAAAATTCGCTAATCTCTTATTCTGGATGGAAGGAAGGCATCGAATTCTCTGCTCCCAACAAAACGAAATTTAGTTCGCATAGGGAACGTCACTACCGATACGGTGCCAGTCATCATTGATAAGGATTCTCAGGGGAAAGAGAAAGATGAAAGAAAGGGAACGGAAATGGTTGCAGGCTAATCTTCTCAGCCACCGGAGATGAGATTTTCGGCAAGTTGTCTATCGAGATTGAAAATGGGGGTATGTCTGGATAAATCAGGTGGGAATCAGACCATTAAGTGAACAATCCTTGGACGGCATGAGAAAATCCAATTCATAAAAAGTGAAAAGGGAAAGAATCTCATTCTCGAGGGCTGTGTTCACAAAGAACAAAATGAGCAAGGGCGGAGGATGAACGTATTGGGAGAGCCACTTCAGAAGATACAAAGGAAACTCCTGTTACCGAGCTACAACAGGAGGGCAGGTTGCCCGTGCGGTCGCCGATATATAACATCGAGGAACTGACCAAACGGAGAATTTTTCGCTCGGGGAATCGACTGCCAGGGAAATAACTATTCGGGGAATCGACCGGGAACCTAGGGACACGAACATACGTCTCAATCCTTTCGTACACGCTTCTTTGCTTATCTCATGTTTCCAACACACGCCCCCTCTAAATCTGGGTGACTGACTCAAAGCATGACGAATCGACTCCGATCCTCGACGATCCTCCCTCTCGCTCAGGACGCCCAAAGCCCACGAGAATCAAGACGAACGAAGCTTGGCTCTCTTTGCGGATTGGAATCCGACACGGACAACTGACGGATTACGCGACCAGCAGTACGCTGTTTAGAGGACTTGTACGTATCTCAATGAACCTCTAATGTCTACTAACTCCATTTCGAACCATCGCGTTTGTAAATAAACTGAATTCTCCGTGCGGCATCGGGGCACGTTCCAACCCACTCGACTGCAACGGACGATGAAGACCGAATTCTTCAAGCCAAGATATCAAGAGCGAGGGATGAACGACGTTCCCGTTTCACCGCGGGAAAACAAAGCACGGGGAGATAAAGAAAGAATACGACAAAATAAGAGCTTATCGAAATGAAGCACCCCACCCACCTGGCCCGGTTCCAATTCCTGATTAGTTTTCTAAGTTGTTGGCTTTCCTTCAAACCCGCAATGAAGTTCAACGCCTCCCCCATAGATCTCAGGGGACATTCCTATCTCGTGCCTCATGCCTGACGAACGGGAGCTGGGAAATTCGTAGAAAATTCCTGGAAGAGCGGAATTTTTTCCCCGCCATCCTCAGCATTGTTCGATGACAGAAACATTTGCCCGCGGTGGATAACGAGAAAGCAGCAATGATCGTTTAGAACAATGTTGTGTTTAGCACCCCATCAAAGAAGGAAAAGCAAAGGAAGGCAAAACAAAGAGACGCCAGATCTTTTTCGGGGAAACTCCGATTCGAAGAAACGCGCGACTCCAGTCACGTGATAAAAGAAAAAAAAAACAAAAATGGAAAAACGAAGCCCCGAATCGCCCGGAAATTGACCTTGTCTCCGAATGAACGAGGGATACGAACTAGGTACGGATCAAAAACGTAGGTGAGGAGAAAGGATAGCTGCCCGCATGTGGCGTGACGGCGAAGACGATAAGAGAGGGTTTGCTCAACCGCTGACAGCTACAAGACCGATACCCTAGTCTCTCCAGACCAAAGGCACAGGATCTGACTTCCCCGGTGCCAAAATAAACCCTTTTTCACATAGTGACGACAAACGTATCCACCCCCGTCTCTTCCCGCATTTCATGAGGAATCGACGAAGGTAAAAAACGGAGAAACATGACTGGAACGAAGCGAGAGGGCTCCGTGTGAGCTAAATCGACCATCCGAGACAGATTACACGATCACAACTAGCTATTTTTTCCCGCCCACGAACGATATTTGAGAGGTAATTACAGAGACAAATCGAGGTCCTTTCACGGACCGTGAATTAGCGTTCGGAATGACCTTTTCACAGCCTCCTTCTAGGAAAAAAAAAAGCACGGTCCGGTTAAGAGAGAAAGGCCTCATAAAAGGGCACGAGGAACAGGCATCTCACGTTCCCGTGTTACGTGTGCGAACAATGCCCAGCTCATCCTCCTCCCCTGCTTTCACATGTGATTACGTCTCTCCCAAGGCCGAGATTGGCAATTATTCCCGTTCCCAACGAGGGTCGCAGACAGGGTCGGGGGAGACGGAGAAAGGCAGCGCGGATGCACGAGACGCACCTCGTCGCTCTCGGCGATGTCCACGTCGCCGTCGTCGTCGTCGTCCAGCTGTCGATGGAGGGCCGTGATCGCTTCGAATCCCTGTCGATCTCGACACGCCGACTCGCTCGTCCCGCAGGGGTCATCTGATGGGAGATAGAGATGCGAAGGTGGGGTTAAGACGGTCGTCATAAGCCGAAATCTCGGCAAAACGGTGAAAGGAACCGGATCAGAGATCGATATCGGTCTCACGTTTCCTTTTGCATCCGGGTCACCTCCCGTGTCTTAAAAACACGAGCTTATAAGATATGGCACTTCTTCCATTCCCATTATGCATTTTAAAAGCCCTCTAGCGGTCTGGCCCCGAGATCGAAAGGCGCACAAGTACTTGATTTACCTGAAGGAGACAACATTAAACTTATATTATGGGAAAATATGTGAATTCGAACATTAAATCAATTACATGGGGTGTTCGAAAAGTTTCCGGAAACATCTAATAAAAACTAAATCATCCTTTTCATCGCCACCAAAATTGGCACACAGAAACATCACACCTCCCTTAGCCCTCAAAGTAATCACTGTTCGAATATATCCACTCCTGCCATGCGTAAGGCAGCAATTGTATACCCATTCTGTAGAAGCCTGTTTCTTCTTCTTGAAGCCATGGTCTTAGAATTTAAGATCTTTATCACTGATGAAGGGTATTCCACGAAGTTGGCCCAAAACTGGCCAAACTGATGATAATTGGAATCGAAGGCTAAATGATGGGTGGCTGGCAACAGTCAACCTAAAATTGCCGATAACATGCATTGTTTTGAACGCCAGCAAGAGCAAGGTACAGAATGAGTATGCAATCGCTGCCTTCCAGATGGCAGAAGTCCATAGATTGGAACCGTGATTATTTTGAAGCTAAAGGAGGTGTGATGTTCCTGTGTACCGAATTTGGCAGCGATGAAAACAATGGTTTTGTTTTTATTAGATGTTTCCGGAAACTTTTCGGACACCTCTCATAATTAAAGCTAAAATATAATCTCAGTCGGGAAACGCTTTCCGCTTTTACCTCTTGAAAGGATCTAATAGAGACAAGACAACGAATGTCTTTTTTTAATGCAAAACACACATACATACATGCACGTATGCAGTGCCAGAACGCTTAAAGCTTCGATAGGATCGAAATTTACCGGCGCCGTAATTACGGCACCGGTATATATGAAGACTAGTTGCCGTTCGTTTCAGAAATAAGTGTCTTCGCCAGATTTAGTGCGGAAACTATAGAACGATTTCATGACAGATCTTCCCAACCGTTTTCACGCGCGCCCCCAAAAATCACAATCATACCATGCAGGACCCCAAGCACTGGCTCAAGTTCGACAGGTTTCTCCCACCTATGCAAAGTCAACGTAACACAACTTGGCATTTCATTGCCGGTTCGCGACCCCAAATATGATCTCGTAAATGGGGTCGCAACACATGGGTTGGGAAGCCCTGTATTATAGCCAAAAAATTGCTGATAAGCAACCCTCATTGTAATGGTATGACATGTTCCAAACATGACCTACTGTAGCTATCATTACTCAGGAATACAATCATTATGAAAGGTATATTAAGATACCATGGTCCTTTTGAATGACAATTGTAAGCCGACCAAACTTTCATTTCAACTTGATCATATAAATGGCTTTTATGCAGGTAGTGTTGCCTTAGACAGGGACAGGTATTTTGCCAAAATGACTGAAAGGGATTTAAGAGAGAAAAAAATGTTCTCAAATGATAAACCATCCAGTTATCCAAGGATACTAATAAATCGATGATAAATAAATATAAAGTACCCTGACCCAAATATACATATACATATTCCATTGTTGATTACACCACCAAGGTGTGTGGTGGCTAGAGGGAATATAAAGGTGTAACCTAGAAGCCATGTAACAGAGCCCCTGCAAGCCCAAGATGTTCAGATAGTAGTCACATACACCAGTCAGGACTTTTTAATGGATCCCATGAAGCTTAAGAAGTGACAAAATGGTTCACATTAGCAGATGCGTATATGACAGCTATTGGACAGAGGTTGATGAAGCTCCACAGTGCTGGGCCATGAGCAACTCTGATGTGAATGCATGCATGGATGAACAGAACATCAACAAAAGCAGAAAGAGGTAGTGGGTGGAATCTCTTGGCAATAACACAGCAGCAAAAAAAAAGGAAAAAAAGAAACAGATGTATGCACTTGTGTTGTGACACGCAAAAGGATCCTATCAGCACTGACATACTGCATAACGTATACTGATGAACTCATCACACACCATTGACAGAAAGACCTGCCCTGGATACCCTTCAGGCAAAGGAGGTTGGACACCATTTGGCTATATGCCATAGACAGGAATGGCTCACTGTTTCTCTACAGATGGATATTCATCTACCACCATCACCATGGGGGAGCAGTGTCCATCAATGAAGCCATACTAGTCTTGTTTATTTTATATACCTTCTTGGCCTTCACAAGCATCATTCTTCTTATTTCAAGACATGGATTGTGTTGGCACTACAATATCCCCCAGAAGTCAAATTGTAAACAATCTTAGCTCATCAGCAAAATATGTAAGAGCAGGCCTTTTGAGCATGGTTTCCCAACCTTGATGGCATCATCACCATGCTTCACCCAAATCCCATTATCTCTTTCTGGGTGACAATGTGAGGCTTATAATGGGGGTATTTATTACCCATCCATAGGACAGGAAGTGTTTTAGAGCCAACAGCATCAACAATGATTTCCCAAGCAATAATAAAGTATCATCCAAGCATTCCAAGACCTGGAGTGCCTCTTATTAGGATACAATATTCATTTGCACCAATTTTGTTGCTGCTCTGGGTAGCATCTACTTGATGCTGTGCACATCCCCAATTGCTGGAGGAAATGAAACAGCATTACAAGACTTCTCTTCTTGCTCCAGTAGTTACAACTTGACATTTCATGCAGATCAGCACGACACCTTTATTTTGGGATTTTTTTGTCAGTGAGATCAACATTGCCTCTGCATTGCTCCCTGAGCATATTATATGATCATAGAAAAAAATATGAAGATGGAATACTTCATGGACACCATTTAAATTGCACTTAAAAAGTGTAAAACACAGAATTTGGATATGTAAGAATTTGTAGTTTGTAAGATTGCTCACACATTTTGGTACTTTCAAACCATCATCACATAAATAATGAATGAAAGCATGGAGAAAATGCTTAGAGACCTGTATATAAAATGAATTAAACAAGGTCATTTACTATGACTGCTCAGCAAGAGCAACTATCCAGATCCTTCTTATTTGACAAGAGGCCACACTGTGATATGGGTGTGCAATATGTATACTTTTACTGGGAATACATAATGCACAAAAAAATTGATAGGTCTACAATAAAAAGTCAGCATATGAAAATAGAAGTATGGAGAGAATAAAAGTTTACAAGTTAATATTAAAAATGCCAAAAGATGAGAAAGACAACAAAGAACAGGAGAATAGATAAGGTAACCTGTTCTCTTTTTCATGTATAGGTATTTATACATCAAAGTGCATCATCAAAGGTTTGGCAAAGAAAAAATCTATTTGCATTTCAAGAATTATCAAGTAAAAATTCATAATTTTTCCAAACAGAAGAAATAAAATGGAAGAATTTTCATTTCTGTACAAGAGAACTAAGACTCTCAGCTCCTTAGTCCCAAGATGAATATCCCTCATTTCCTTTCTTCACCCCAAAAAGAGAGTCTTGCCCTCTAAAAAAAAATGTCAAAATTGCTTAATAGCCATTTTGTCAGAGCTATAATGACACACTTCCTAATCTTTCTTGCACTTGCATCAGTTTGCTTAACCTGTACACCAGAGTGCATACTATGCTTTGCTGAAGAAAATCAAGTCCTTAGGATTAAATTTTTCATTGAAGATTTATTAGTTCTGTTAAATCTTCAATACTTAAACTTGTCTAGAGAGCTATGAAATAATAATAATATATAATTTTCAAGCAATTCCAACAAAACCTGAAATCAGAATGATAAAATCGTAACTCTTTCACTGCGTAATTTAATTGAGAAAGGTTAGGAAGTGCAAGTCACAGAGTGAGAAAAGTCTACCACTGCAGCAAAAGAGTTAAATAAATTTTTAACTGAAAGAAGGTGATGGCAAGGGGTTAATAATGGGTGCAAATAAGTCTTACCATATCTGCTTCTTCCAGCCCCATTTTTTGAGTCACCATTTCTGTTTGTCAGCTTTCCATTGCTCGCCCCATAGATGATCCTCTCAACAGCCTCCTTATATTCCACACGTGAAGAGGCACAAATATACCAATTCAACAGGACACCAATGAGGATGACCTTGGTAGTTTTTGGTATGCCACACTTTCTTTTAACACTTGACATGGTACCTGAACTATCAACCATGGTCTTTCTTACACTGCACACTCAATCAGTGTGCCTTTCCTTCACTTGAATCTCATTACATGTCAGGGCAGTTGCATCTGTAGATGTGCTGCTGATCCAACAGAAAGTTGTCATAAATGAGGGAAAAGGAACACAAAATGAGAATTATGAAAACCTAGGCATAAGATATGGCATCAGGGAATACATGTGAATATATGTCACAGCAATTTTTAATCAAGGAACCACTACCCTTCCTGGCAACTGTAATATGTCCATGAAATTTTTAAAATATTCAGACATCAACTAAGATGCATGGGTGCCAGTGGCATAGTGAGGGGGGGCTTCAGACCCCTCAACTCTGGTCTAAATGCGTCCGTCCCACCCAGACGAGGTGAAGTTAGCCCCCCATTGACAAAAACCTGGCTACACCACTGATGGGTGCTAGACAAAACAAAAAGCACTGGAAGCACTATAATTGGATACATAAATTCTGAGAGTGAGAGTATTCATTTCATGTAAACTTGATGAAATCATAATGTAAATGCTAAAGATGAAAACATGGCCCATTTGATAGAAGCTTTATGTTTTTATCAAACAGACAAATTAATTTCTGAATTTCATCCAGGATATCCCACCAAAATAGTCTATATGCAAAAGCCTGTTTTCTATGCATTGCCTGCAAAAATCATTTCATTTTTCAGAAAATAAGCCCTGCCCCCAAATATAACATTTTTCACTACAAAAGGCAATAATTAACCATTCCAAAAAAAATTGAGCAGTGGAGAGGTAGCAGATGAGACTATCCCTTCCATCTTATCAAAACTTCAATGTGAGTCGTCATGTACTATATATGCTTATATCCTAAATCAAGGGGAACTAAGAGACCTACCAACCATTAAAGAAAATGTCATGATAGGTGAGTGGAATTTCAAGCAATGAACGAGGAAAGCGAGGGCAACATCCACTGAAGTTTGGGGAGAGAGCTGTTTTTATTTGAATGATGTATTAGCTCCAGGAGGGGCAAGTTTTTTTTTTTATCTCTGGGTGAAATGGGATGGAACTACCCAAGAAATTACATTCTTTTCCCATTCCCAAATTCTTCCATATTAAATTCTTGGGGAAAAGAAGATTTTGTAGAATTATCTGTTGGTTGGACTTGGATCAGAAGGCCTAACCTTGGTCTTGTCATATACAAAGAACTGAACCTGGCATGATCATCATCCCACCCTGAGCTCAAAATCAGCATTGATGCTGGTACAATTTCTTCTGGGTAGTAATCCATCAAATTATCTCCCACCACCCCATCCAAACCCTTCACCACTCTAAGTCTGAGAAGTACTAGCCTATAGTTCCCTGGAGCAAATATGTTGCCTTTCTATAAAGCAGGGGATAGGAACTACATGAGCCAAATATCCTGCAAGTCATGTGAAAGAAAAATGTTAATTTACATGAGGTTATAATATGCCCCTATCAACACTTGATGAACATCACCTAGGGACTGGGGCCCATAGGTCTAAATATTGCCTATTCAAGTGAGTTCAAAATCATTATTTTCCCACCTGACTGTGCAGGGAGATGTTCTGTTTCCCTTCTTTTGATTGCCACCTTTCTGTATTCTGTATATAGTAGCCTAGTATCAATTTCGTTAGTAAATGAAAACCTGTCACATTCTCATTTTATAGAGTAAAATTAAAATGAAAAACTAATGTAGGCTTAGCGGTTTTCTGTAGAGTTCAATATTTCTCACTTGACTTCAACGGTTGAACTAATCACCAGTCACGGGCTAAAATAGTTTACGATGAGATTGGTCAACAAGAAACTTGAACTAATTAGTGTTGACACATACAAAAAAAAAAGCAGAATTGCTTACCATTGTCCTGGGACAAAATAAAGGCTAAAAACTGCTTAGGCCAATGTCCAATAAAATGTAACGTCTCTATCAGTTGCACTCTCGAATGCGTTCTGAATAGGATAGGTCCTCGATGTGTCAGATGGGAGAAGACGAATGGGGGACCAGCACGTAAGGCCGAGAGAGAGATGAATAAGGGCGGGGGGTTTCCACATGCACGGCCGTGACAGGGCGAAGGCAATGCCATAAGCCATACACGACTGCAGTCCACCCGCTCCATCTGCAACTGCGAGATTACGGAAGATGTGCTGGCTAGCTTCACGCTGGAAAGCGATAGCATTGCGTCATCGGTAGACATGGCCGCCCCGTTACGGCCAGGTGATCTCTCTATCCTCATGTTTTATTCGCCCTGTATCTCATTCTCATCTTGACAACTTCGTGTTTTGTTTTCAAGGCAACCACGAACGGGCGTGGAATGATCCACCAGTGTTTTCTCACGAGACCTCAGCAGCTCTCCAGAGTCGCCCAAGGACTAGCATTCATCATCGACTCCAGCAGCAGAAATATATCCCCTATCCGGATTCTGCCCAGGCAAAATCTTCCGAACCTAAAGATCCAACTGAACCAATAAATTATGATAAGTGCCCTGGACCCCCTCCACCTCCAGTCGGAGGACTCATACCTTTGGTCCAGAAATCTCCTGCTTGTGAAACACCTGAATCTCCGCCAGACAATGTTGACTTCAAGTCGGAAGAAAGGAGAGATTTCGTTATACGCAAGCTTCGCGAATGTGCGAGAGATTGCTATGATACTATGAGTGTAAGTGATATGAGTATCCCTAATCCATTGCAGCTTTGCTTGAGTAGAGGCTTTTCTTTAATGTTAGCATGTAAATGCTTTGTTTCCAGGAAGATACCAAGGATGATGTAAGGAGGCGCATTGAAGCCCTTTTTGATATGTGGAAAGAAGAAAAATTGGAGGATCAACTCATGCAGGGTCTTTACTCCTTGGCCAAAGGTGGGAGAGCCCATGTGCATTAAGTCTTTCTGCCTACAACCTAGCAATGTGAGATTTAAAAAAAATTCATTAAAACCCCCAAGTTCAATTGGAAAATGGTCTAAGATTCCATTTGATGGAAAACTGAGTTTTGAATCGCTGCAGATAAGCTGTGGGAAGTTTTTCCCATTTATCTCGAATTGCATCTTTTACACATACGCCCTTGTCCAGGAACTCCTCAATTGAATTATCTCCTGTATATTTTCCATCCTGCACAACAATTGAGGATGGTGGTATTCTCTTCTTTAATGTTTCAAGTCTCTGGATCTTAATAGCCTTATGTAAAAAAGTACATTCATGTCCAAAACTTTTGGTTTCATTGCCATTCCAACTACCTTTTCTCATTGTGCATTTGTACATTCTTTAGAAACCTCTCCTACTTTTCTTTTCAGCAATTGATGAAAAGGCATATGAGAAGGCTGACAAGATGCAACAGAACTTGACTGCTGATTTTGGGAAGTCCTGTTCCAGTTGGATGCCAGCCATTCGCACAATCATTCGATCCCACATTTAATCTATGTGATACTTTTCAGTTATTCCTTTTCTCTTCCTTTTATTCATAAAAAAATAATGGATTCAAAGAATGAGATATTCATAAAATAAACTTATAGATAAATGCATTTTCAGAGTTTTATTACCCCACAAAGAAAGGAGTCAAGAATGCGAAGGTGCACATGATTCATACCTCCTGCAACTACTTGACACAAGGGATGTGTCCAGTACAAAAGCAAATGGGGAGAAAAAATTTGAGCCCTTATACATTCATGATATCAAAAAATAACAGTGGCATTAAAACTCTATGCCAGATGAAGTAATATTGATAACACATAATAGATGGAATGGGTAGTTTGCATTGTGGCAACACAATGGAATGAATGCTGCTTAAGAATGCCCAAAAAGAAATGATTTTTCATCATAACACAATGGAACTAAATTCTGCAGCATTATGGAAGTAAAGTTTGTGAGGGATTGCAGAACTCTTGTAGGGGTAACATATACATGAATGCCAATTTGAGACCCCAAGATTCCCATATTGAAAAGGGCATAAAAGTGTAGTCAAAGTTTGAACTTGAGATTCAGCCGAGATCACTAGGTAGTTTGTGAGATTTCCATCAGAGTGAGCCGAGATCAAGACATGATTCAATTTGAACTGACCAGAGTCACATAACAAAAGCCCCATCAAGAGATCTGCATTCTAATCTTAAGTCCCTCAATCACTAACAAAAGCAAACTTATAATGTCCACTCGTATACCACAAAGACAAAAAAACAACTAGAAAAGAGGTCACTGTATCAAAAATAAGGATGTCGAGGTCTCGAGCCAACAAATTATGAGAACCATAAAGTAACCATAGAGCAATTCTTCTTGAAGCCAATCAGAGAAGCAGAGAGGGGCTTCTCATAATGGGTGTTTATGAGAAGCCTTGGTCCTGAGTAAATGGACTGGTATGAATCAAAAGAAAAAAAAAAACTACACTGGTTATTCAATGGGAAGGTAACCTTACTTGTCAGGTTCTGGAATATAAGCCACAAAAGGTCCTGTGAAAGAAGGGAAAGCATTTCCCTGCAGATTACGTGGCAGATATGTGAAATAGGTAGGAATAGCCAGATTGGGAGGTAAAGGCATGAAGAAGGGAGGCACTTCTGGAGGATGGGGACCAGATGGAAAACACCGATCTCGGCGAGGAGGCCGACATTGTAGCAGTGGCTCCCCCTCGTATTGGGATCGTATTCTGGAACTGGAATCAACAGATCCATAGCCAGAGTCAGCTGATGGAGACATCACATCAATGTGCAGGTTCCGTTGATAAGTCAAACCTAGGTAAGGAAAATCAAATCAATCTGTTACCATCAGTCCTCCTCAGGACAGAATGAATGGACATGAATAAAGAACAAGGGGATGTTCCATGTAAAAGGGATGACCAAAAAGTATCAGGATTTGCTTTTCTTCTTCAAACAGATGTGGATGTGACAATTTTCACTTAATGTAAAAACAGGCACTGAAAAACAAATAATCCTAAAGTTATTACTAGGGCTGTACTGGTGGCTACATTTGGCCGGTGGGCTGATGGTAGATTTTTTCCTCATAACCATTGGTCAGTGTCGGTGTCAATTGTGGCCTGTAGAAGAAATCTCCCATAAATTCAAATAGGCATAATTGGAAGCCATGTTATACTCATCAATAGGCCTCCTTGAAATGATAGAGACCACTTTTGTTCCTGTCCAGCCTGTCTGTCTCTCTATGGGGCTGTCAGTGGTTAGCTTGTTATCCATTACTGCTGTTGAGAGCATTTAGTGACACATCCCTAGCAAAAGCATAACGTAAGTGGAGATGCAATAACTTCCCTTCTTTACCGCTCCTTTCCTCTGCAGATTCCTATAATCTGGCTTTAATATAATCCAAGTGATATTTTTTCTCTGGGAAAGGCTGGCAGGAGTGGCTTTCAGTGAGACATGAGGGCTGGCGCCTAGTTGCGTTCACACCCTCACATATATATTTTTCACTTTGCCTGTCCTTAGGGCACTGGCACCATAGGCTGATGGAGCCGATAGTGCAACTGGTGGATGATACCAGTGTTAGCAGATACATTGGTACAGTCCTAGTTATTACAAATGGAAAATTAAACTGCCAAAAAGTTTTATGATGCCTATAGGCCCTGTTCAATATGTAGTGCTCTTATCCTACCTGACAATGCCAGACCCCAAATAACCCTGTGCTCCCAGATCACCAAGAACATGGGGTGGATCTTGTTAACCCATCTGGCACCAAGTTATGATCTGACTATCTAATTTTCATCAATTGGAGTCATGAAATGCAACTTACATTCACATCACTATGAGACCATAGAAACCCTTAAAACAGCTGTAAACTGATGACTGTATTGCCAAACAGATATTTACCAGGAGTGCACATCAAAGCTTCTGCCAGATTGCAAAAATGCATAGTAGGTAACAAGTGAAATAGAAGAGTGGAAGAAACACTGTTTAACATGAGTAAATTGTCAAAATTGCTACAATAATCTCTTCAGATCCAAGCATTTAAACAAGCCAAATTCCAAATGGGTGTATATTTTCCTTGGACTGAGGAGGATAGTATATCAAGTGTTGAGAAAAAAATCCCAAAACTTTTGGACCATTTAAGTAAGGCTGCTGCAGAGTGTAGAGTTTAGTACAATTTTCACCTGAAACTTGAAGTCTGGGGGGAATTTGCATGAGAGATGGTTGAATGGATGAAGGAGGGGATGGACCTGGGCTAGAGACTTCATTGTGCATGGGAGAACTTCCATCCATGGGAATCATTGGTCTCTCTCCAATCACCCCTGCCTGAAACGAAATGCATAGACCTCAGTATTAAAATTCATCCAAGGGAGGGAGGGGGCAGGGGACCAAGAAGAGAATAGAATTCTCACAGGAGGAACAGGAGGCTCAACTGGGAAAGGGAAATCTGGGAAATAATAAAGAAAGAAGTGAGGTTTTGCAGCTGAAGCTATCTAATTTCACAACTGAAGGTAAACTTCAAACTAACGTGAACCACAAGAATCTGGAGTTGGGGGATAGGGTCCTTGTAGAGCACAGGGGGGAGCAGGTGGTGGTAAAATGGGGAAAAATGCTGGATCTGAAGGAGGGGATGGATTGTCCTTATTGCCCCATTGAATCAAGGGTGAGAGTGGAGGAGGGAATCCATTGCTCATGGTGAATGGACTTGAACCCATCATATACCCTCCATTCTGCTCCTCACACCCGTGACCCTGAGGGGATGCAATTGGATACACCTGGTTCTTGTGTTCCATTGATACCTCCTGCAAAGTAACAAATATCAGTAATCTATAATAAAATATCATGAAAAAGTTTTAGAAGAACCTCTTTTCTACAAGAAATAACTTTCTTTTCAACCTCTTCCATTCAGGTAATTATTTATCTGCACATTCATGATAACCTCAAAAATCGATGAACACAAGCTGAGTCATAAACCCACTATTAATGCCTAGTGACAGCAAAGACTGATGTGAGAGAGTTGCCAAACCTTCAAAACATGAGGAGTTCCCTTTCCATCAATGAAAACCTGCTCAGTTTGCTGTCCCTGGCTTGGACAGAAAAGACCTAATACGTGTGAGGCTTCATCTCCTGCACTGCAATGAGGAAAGAACATTCACTAGATTACAAGAAATGTAATTCCCTCAGAAAATGAGAGGGTTACACTCTCTTCACATCATCCACTTTATGATAGAGCCATCACAGTCACAAACTTGCCAGGTGTTCACATTAGCTAACCAAGTTTGATTTAATCATACCAGCTGATAATTCCAGGGTATGGAAAAAAAAAAGACTTTCAGCTTTTAACCTCTATAACTCTACACTTCATGCTGCCAATCATATGAAACTTGCACTGTGCATACTTGATATATTCTCAACACCCCTTTGAAATTTCATTCAAATTCATTAATATACAGCAAGGCAACAGACAATTATGCAAAAGGAACTGGAAATTGATCATGGATAGGGGAATCCAGCTCCTGTAGAATAGCAAGGCTGTACATGCATCCATAGCATGAAGGTTTTTCCTTCAATTCCTAGCATGGCCCTTGTCCATGTATTCAATATCCAACTTATTTTGAATACTTGTTTGAAGTCTTGTTTGGGATGATGAATTTTAATGAAATTTCAAAAGTCCCATATTAATGTATGTCTATAGAGAGTGCAAGTTTCATGAAAATAGAAATATTTAAGAGCAAATATTCATTGGTTAAAAGTTGAGGGGGGGGTGTCTTTTATGCCATATCCTATAGATCAATAACAGGACACCAGGCATGAAGGAGAATATGGTAGTGTACACAGACTAAAAACCAAGTTTTATTGTTGCTAGCATGTAGCATGATTTTGTCTAATCAATATTTATAGATTGGATATCAGCAAATTTAAGTTTACTTAAGTTTTCTATTCAAGAAGTCAGGCAATGTTATCATTCAGGCCTAAAGTCAAGATAAGACAACATACTTTAGACCTATTTGTGCTCCCAACAACCTTAAGAACACTCAAATCAGTAAATAAATAAATACAGGGTAACCCAGAAGTAACAGGGCAGTAACTACAATTTTATTATTATTTTATAATTTTATTTATTTTTATTTTGATTATTAATTGATTTTTATTTTTATTTCAGAATCACTAAGTATTAAGTTTTGCAAATAAAAATTGTAGTGACTGCTGATTGTACCACTAACTGCCCTATTACTTCTGGGCCACCCTATACATTATTGGTCACACTGAGAGCCTATAGACTCTGTCAACACTTCTGTTTGTTACCATGGCAACAGTGATGAATCTGGAACTACCAGTAACCCTTTCACTCACCCCATGGGCAAAGAGGTTACTATGGCAACCAATTATTAGTCTAATTACAGCTGAAATTGATTTTACAGCTATCAGAGGTTGGTTTGCTTATTGAGCAAGATCTAAAATTTTTTATGCAAAATAACCTCAATGAGCATAAATAATATCTGACAGGTGTGAACCTTTGCTAGTAGGCATTATTCCACCTTCTTGGCCCATTACCTGAAATCTGATGTATGTCGTTTCCTTTGTGTTCTTCCTGACATGGTCTGTCTGTCTTGGGTCCTTGTTCTACTCCAGATTATCTTATTCTTCGAATGTTTTTGAGGCCTCAAAGTATGACCTGTAAACAAGGAGAGAGGAAGTTCAAGTTCATCTACTGGTACTTGCTTCTATTTTTTTCTAAGGAGGCTTTGCATCACAAGCATAGGTTTTCAATAAATGTTTATGACCATGGCTATGATAAGATGTGCTCCTCTCTTCATTCCCATGCTTGCCACAGTTCAGAGGCATAGGCTTCACTCGACTGTATGGCAGAGTGCGGCTGAAATAAAAAATAAAAAAACAAAGGATCAATTGCGATTTCAAGAAAGATTTGGAAACAACTCTGACACTACTCACATTTGTCCAAGGCTCTCAACAAAGACTGTGACAGGCCCTTTGTTGGGAATCATGTTTTGGATATAACCCAACCCACACACAGATGGCTCTGATTCATTCAAATACACCAAACAACGAGTGCCAAGGCCCAGCCCATCTTCGTTCAAATAATGGGTGTGACGGTACACAGCTGTTCAGGTGGAAGTAAAGAAAAAATCAACATTCATACCTACCCAAGTAAGAGAAGAGTTTCCTTCTGTCAATCCCATAAATACAGGTATTAGACTCATTCATTAGAATAAACACTGGATAAGAAATTGTAAGTAGCATGTTTAGCAGTTGAAATTACAAAACTGGACTGACCCCTGACTTCTTCAATCCAGAGATCAAACTCCACATTTCGATAGAGATAGGGTACCAAGGCCTTTGCATCTTTGAACCGGAATGGAGGTTTGAGGACACCAGCCAAGAAGTACTTGGATATCCATGTTTGTGCCTTCACAGAAAAATTTTTCCAGACTGGCTCATTCAATGACCTGCAAATAAAGAATATGCATGAAATCAGGCAGACTTGTGCATCTCCTTCTATTCTTCAGTGGCCCAAACATCATAAGAACCTGGTCAACATTTTTGTGAGAGAATTCCCAGTGAATTCATAACTCATTTTATTTACAATTCCTTTCAGTGAAATCCTTTCAAATAAAATTCGTAGGCAAAGGCAATATCTATTGCATCATATCAGGTTACTTGATGGCATATAAGCCTCAATATGTTCAAGAAGGGAGACCTCTGATCACAAAGCACTCCTGTCTCTAGAAACAGGATATAAAAGAGTTCCAGTGTTTTTGGCTGAATTGAGGCAGTGTATACCACTCAGGACAAACTGAAACTCCTAAGGTAAAGGTAACTGAGTCAACATAGAGTTCAAGGTTGCTCAGTGTTAAATGAGGTTATAGGGGAAGGGGCTTAATTGGGATTATGAGGGATGTCAGATGAGGTTTTTCTATCAGGGTGCATTCACATGCTTGGAGTCTCTGGTGTGTTGTGACTTATGGTGTATTGAGAAACTTCTCAGGGTAAACTGGATTTTCAACTGTGCTCTTGTTTATTGCAACTAATGTATGTTCTCAAACAGGATCTACAATATGCCTAACAAATTTACATATTACTTTAGCCTATTAGTGTCCAGGTTTTTTTTCTTCATCACAAGATCCCCAAACCAGGATCAGCTTTAGCCACAAAATCTCTCATACAAATGCAATACTTCCTTCACTTGATACACACATACAAACCCTCACTCCCTACTCTATACTACATTTCCAGGATTCCCTACCAATTTAATATGAGCTTGAGGTTCCCACCACTTTCATCACAACCAAAATGGCTGTGGAAAGTTTGTGTGGAAGTAAAATTGCATGCATCTTTGGTTGAAATACACTTTTGTCACAAACACCAATCATTGTGTTTTTCTTGCCACAAGGGTATTACTGCAGGGGCTGGGATGATTTCATATGATGACATCTAACCCTAAGCAAGGCACTAGCAGACACTCAGATGAAAGTTCTAAAATACTACTATTGTTAATCACAGTTCATGAACTATTAAAAAAGTCAGAAATTAATGTTTAGAACCAATTGTTTGTGCATGCTGCAATCTATTACTCTTCCAGCTAACATTTTTTTGCTTTCTCATTACTTTGCCTCTCAACATTGAAAAGTTATCCTCCTTGGTGCAGTTTTCTATCCCAGTAAATAACTTGATTGCATTCCAGAGACAAGCACATGAAAACTCATGCTTTCACATGAATGGTACTGCTAAATAAAAAAAAAAGTGAAAATGACAGAGACCCATTTCCTCCTTTCCCTTTCCCAGCTGATAGCCATCAGGAACTCCCATACTCCATCCTTTCCTTCAAATTAATTTACCAGACCCTCTTCTGCAAGCAAGGACCTCCCAGTGCATGTGTGATGACTTGTATCTGCTACAAAATGGTGCAAAAATGAAATGAGCTTGTGACCCTTTCTCTGAGACTATCTTCACTGCAGCAAAAGCATTGGTCATGAATCATAAGAGCATTAGGGTGGATTTTTGAACAGAGCACTATCCAATAATGCAGCTTTATTTAAGAGAAAATGCATTATAAATCCAGTAAATAAAACTGCATTATCGGACAATGCTCTGTTAAAAAATCCAACCTTAATTTTGAATATGCATTTGCTTGTCAATATGTATTTATACAGTTAATTTACACAAAAATATAGAGATCTGAAAAATCCTTTTTCTACAACTGACAAGTGCTTGTGACCATTCATACAGATAGTTACTAAACAATTTTAAATTGCAGCATTCTGCACAAATGAAAAAATTGCTAGATCCTTGTTTAGGGATCATCAGGACATAATGGGTGAAGAGTAAAGAGCAGGAAGACTCACAGTAGAACTAGTACTGATCAAATACAGATATTGAACATTTGCATGCAGTGCCAAATTTATGGTCAGTGGGAACCACTTGAGAGCTAAGAGCACAGAAAAAACCTCATCCCACAGGAAAATAACTTCAGGTGGATTTTTGAACAGAGAACTATCCAATAATGCAGCTTTATTCCAGGGAATATACATGATATTTCCTGGAAATATAGCAGGATTATCAGATAGTTCTCTGTTCAAAAATCCAGCCTTAATTTGAAAAGTACACGATCAGAAACTTAGTTAGACTTTTCAATTCTCTGATTTTAACCAGGTCGACATGAGGTCTGGGCCTTTTATGCATTATTAAAAATCAGTTTTCACAGGATCAGAAAACACTATACTTTCTTGACTTTTCTAGGCATGAATACAAAGGGTGACCATAAAGTCCAGTTCAATTTTTCCCCATTTACTCTGCAATGCCTACAGTTATGTGAAAAAAGAGCAGAATGCAGGTTATCTTGCACAAATGCATGTTAGACATTCATACAATACAACACTTCCCTCAGAGGATATAAAACTGGGGGTGGAACCTTGGCCTAATCAGTTACAGAGAAACTAAGTGAGGTATACCCTGACAATTAACCAGGGGAACCAAACCACCTTGTAAAAAGGATGGTCTCCATTGTTTGAGTGAAATCATGCAGTACTCAGGCTAAAATTGACCTCTAAACACTATCCTGAAGACTATGCAAACCGGCAAGAGTGTTTTAATGAACACTCTCATAGCTAGGATTATTCATAAAATCACTCCTGCTCAAACATTGGTAGAGAACACCCGGAAATTACATTGTATCAAAAGAACCACATGGATCAGGACAGAGGAAAACATTTTCAAGTAACCAGAACAAGATGGAAGATGTCACAAGTTGAAGAGTTAAGGTAGCAGACCTACTTTAAGGGAACTTTTTTCATCGCTATTCCTTCCCAGAAACCAAGCTGACTACATGAAAGTTGATTGGGCAAGATTGGTTTGAGATAATTTGCATAATTTATGCTAACGAGGTCCAATATACCCATCAAAGTGCAAAAAATGAACTTTTTCCAAATAGTATTTCTCACAGATCACATATATTTGATGGAATTGGCAAATGTTGTAGTTTTAATCCTTACAAATGTCCTGAGGGAAACAGTTTTTGAGAAATAGGTGACTTTTCAAAAATGGAATTTTTTCTACTTTTAGCTATTTTTGTGACCTAATAAAATAACCAATGCTATTAAAAAGTCCTAATGGATCAGGTGAATGAAAAAAACTACAATCATTCCTTAGAGGAATGTTCAAGGTAGCTCTCAGCCAAAACTGAAGGGCATGAGTGTATTACACGAAAAGTTATGCTGTTCAGAGCAGCATCTGTCAGCTAAAAACAGCTGTAATGAGAAAGTCACAATCAACATGGTTGCCAGGGACAACAGGTTAAGGACATTGATAACAAATTATGCTAAATAGCCATTATTTTTATATTTTCAGCTTTTTATGGCAATATTATGAATCTGCTAAGTTAAAGAATGATTATTTCCAAATTTTGTGGAAATTACTTTTTTTCTTCAAAAATGACGATTCTAAAGTAGGTCTGCTACCTTAAGCCTAAGACACAACTCCAAGAAAATCCATGGATATCTAAAGGACTCTGGATTAGGGAGAGGGGTGGAGCTACTTGCTACAGTTGAGCAGGAAAAGCCTACATATGCATATAATGCTAAAAAAAATTTGACAGAATATGAAAATTTATCATTTTTGAAAATACCAAGAATTTTTTAGACTAAAGAATGTTTGACTTCCCACCAAAGATATTAAAATTCTCAGTATCCTGATACTAAATCAAATTATTATTGCTCAATTCTCATCCAGGCTAATTCTTGTCCCATTTGAAAAGTTGAAAATTGCATACTTACCCTTTACTAAGACACATACATGCAAACATATGCAACAATATCAAAACTGCTTATGCACATGCATGAGACGCCCAAAAGAGCATGTCTTCCTCATGGAATCAGGGGCAATTTAAAGAAAGTACCCTAGCATTAAACCTCACTAGATAAAGCAGAAATGAAGGTATCACTGCTCAAATCAACACTTCTTGAAAGATCCCAACAGATGTCTTTCACATTCTTGCAGAAATTGGTAGTATTCTCATGAATCCATACTTCAAGGAATTACTGAACGAAGAAATCTGACTGGACTTAATGAATACAATTCAAGACACAGCCTACACCTTCACCATTAGATATAATTATGCAATCAACCATTGTGCATGGTACTGAAACAAAAAACTGACAAGAAGAAGAGAAGAAACATACGCTTCAGTTTGTCCACGTAGCATGTAATCAGCTACTTCAACACATCCAGGCATTTCGAAAATCTCTTCAAAGACAAGTTCATACACGATGGCTGGAGGGGGAAGAGTGCAAATGTGAGGACATGCATCTGGCATGCAACTGTGATTAAAAATGCTGATTGTCATACATATCAGGCACTCAAAGGGAATAAGATATGGATATGTTAAGGTGCAATTCTTACAGACCAATGCACTTAGTAAAAACAAGAAAATTACTCTATATATGACAATATTTCATCACCCAAAGCCCCAAGCAAGTTTGTTATTCTCAACCAAAAACTCCACAATCAATAAGACATTCTCTGCACTTGGGTCTCAAAGAAAGGATGTTAAATCGTTTTCAATTTACAAGAGCTGCTTGGTATAAAATTTTGGCCTTGATTTCAACAAACATGCTTTTAGGGAAAGTTGTGGGATGTATTCTTGTCAAGAACTCATACAGCTATCACCAAACTCTAAAAGCAAGTGTGTCTGAGTTGGCTGAGCATCAGTGGGCAAAGAAATAAAGCAGACATGCTCATGAAGACACTTCCCCCAACATGCACACAAAATTTGGAATAAGATGACCAAAAAGTCATGAGCCATTTGTTTTGCTGAATAATCATGTTTTGTGAAAACTTACAAATTTTAATATTTTGCAGTTGCTCCTGGAATGTTGGGAAGTTAGTTTGAAGCATGGATAAGTGGATAACAGAACATTGTGCAGCAATAGTAGAACTATTTCAATAATGTGAAATCATCAGTTGCCACTCAACACATCTTCTAAAGGTAGTTTGGTGTGCCCTTCACAGAATGCTTTGTTTGGCAACCACTGATTTCCAATTACAGAAATACAGTTATACTATTGCTGCACAATGTTCTGCCATCCAATTATCCATGCTTCAAACTAATCTCCCAAACTTTCAAGAACAACTGGAAAAAATTCAAATGTGTAACTTCTCACAAAACATGATTATTCAGCAAAACAAATGGCTTGTGACTTTTTCGTCACTCTATATTAAACTATTGCAGCAATCTGAGGAAAAATGTGAAAATAAATCAAAAGAATGATAAACTTTCCACTGCAAAAAGTGGAGGATTGGCTAGTCATCACCACAGTGCAAGATACATGGCTAAAAGAACATTTTTTCAGATCTTACTCATTGCCAGGCTGCCATATACAGCTCTTAGTTTTCTATAAATTTCAACAGCATAGCACTTTCCTCCATGGCAAATACATGCTTCACAGAAGGGGAGGGAGGGGGTTTGGTTCCATCACATGGGCGGAGCATGCTGCCAAGAAGTGACAGCATGCTCCACAAAGCTGTGATGGTCTGACCTATACAGAGCATCTGAGAAAGGTCTGAAATAAAATAAATATTAATATCTCTGGAATGGATTGATGTACTTCCAAAAGGTTTACAACAAATGGTAGGTACACTCAAGTTTTTCGAGGAGTTAATCAATCTTAATGTGTACATCCTTTGTAGCTCAGCACATACATCATCAGTACTCCACCTTGTGCCAGGTGTTTCTGAGCATGTCAGAAGTTATAGTGTTTACTGCAGCAACAATTCAGTTGTGCAAAAGTGCTAAATTCTGAATCTTAACCTGATCAGGTGACCATGGGGAACAGGCTATGGGTCCACCTCTCCCAATCCAACAGTTCAGGAAATGCTGGTCCAGGTACACATGCACATTGCTGCTGAAGTGTGGAAATGCTCCATCTGGTTGAGAAAATTGTGTGATCAGGCAACTATGAGAATGCAAAGTTTCCTATGTCCTGCTATGTAGTAGCATTCACAGTTGGTTCAGCAAAAAAGAACAGTCCTATCACTCAATTCTTCATAGCAAGACACAACACATTCTATTTTGGAGGGTTTCAGTCATGCTTGACAACTGCATCTGGGCCTTCTCTCTCCCAGACATGGCAGTTATGATGATTCACCATCCCACATGAGAAAGGTAGCTTCATTGGAGAAGCTTATCTTTTCAAGGAAGTTGTTATCTTCATTGACCTGGGAAAGCAAGGCTATGATAATTTCTTCCTCAATATAAGGTCATGCAGCTTAATTTTGGGTGCCAATTGCAGCTTGTCTTCATGCAAAAAAAGGTATTTATGAACCACATCATGAACCATTGATCAGGGTAACTGCAGCTTTTTGTGAGCTCTTCAAATGGACTTACAAAGAAAAGACTTGGTGCAAAGGATTCCATTATTCTTAAAGGATTCTCCTTTACTCAACTGTCCCATAGCATTAAGGAATTGTACACTAATGCATTGCCTCCATACAGTTGGCTGAACATACAGGGTTTTCTGAAAGTTCCTGACCCACTAAACTGAAGATGAAGATGAGATTAACAGGGACATATTGCTTTAATTACATTCCATATAGGCAGGAATACCCAAGGTACCAACTCCTACATCAATATTAGATATGACTTCCACTGACCTCTGGGAACCTCAGATTCATGTCCCAAAGTTCTGAACCAACCAACAGATGACACTTGTTGCATTGGTTTCTCTCTACTTAGAACCCTGGTAACAAATGACACCCAATTCTTGGGATGGGGCTGACACAGAGCACTCTGCTGGAACCTGCACCACAGGTGTTCCAGATGTTGAAGTTCTGACAGTTTCTTGGTCAATTCTTCTAGACCTATACCATAGTCTCGTTAATGACGTGGAACATGAAGCAAGCCGAGTGCTATGGGCCTCCATCCTGCACCAGCACAGCCTTTTCTCAATCTGACCAGATCACCCGGATCTTCATGTAGCACTTGTAGTTAACCAAGATGTTTTCACAGTGGCTGACATATTATTTAGCCATATTTTGTGCAGGTAGCTCAGAAACTTTGGAACACCCTGCACAGTTGCATTAAACACAAACAACCAGACTTAAATTCTGCCAGCCACAGAACACACTCCACTTTCAACTGAATCAACACCATCTTAATCAAGGAGGAAGGAAGCACAACACAAATATGTAGAAGGGGTGTGTTTGTTAACTTGTAGCTATTAGCTATTGTAAACCTTTTGTGCCTATATGGTTTCATTCCAAAATTATGAATTTTTATTTTATTTCAGAACCTTCTCAGACACCCTGTATATACCACAGTACCAGAGTGCTGTAACTTTTGAAAACACACATATATGTCAGTACCTGCTTAAGGGTTAAAGTAGAGTTTGCATAACTTTTTTAGCTTAGAAAATTTCAAACTTGAGCATGCATACAGCCTTCCAAGCTCCATTCAGCTCCATTCCAACTTTAATTAACAGAATCTCTTAAAAAGAGAACTGTCTCACTGTTTCACAAAAGAGAACTGTCTCACAAAAAGAGAACTGTCTCTTAAAAAGAGAACACAAATATGATTAGCCTATCTTAATTTCAATCAACCAATCCAAGTTACTGCTCCCTTTTCAATTCCAAATACATCACTAAACTGGAAGGATCTCAATCTTTCTTGGAGACATACAATGTGTTGCCATTGAAAATTTTACTAAATACCAAGGGAAACAATGATGTCAAACCAAGGTGGATTCAAGCACAGGGATTTCATGATGAGTTCACACACCTCAGCAAGAGCACTGATCCTACTGAAATTTCAGCTCCAGGGACATCTATCAAGTATCAGTTCAAGCAGTATGTGCAACCAGAGGAAACATTAAAGAATTGCTTGCATTAAGGGATGAGTGAACTCATCACAAAGGCATTGAATCAAAAGGCAAAACCCAAGATAGCCTATAGTTAGAACATCTTAGGAACCCTGAACTCACATTGGCAGAGGCCTTCTGCTTCAATATGCTCTGCACTATAAACTGAATCATAATGGTTTTCATTTGTGATGCCAAGCACCACAAAGTCTTGAAAACCATGATTGGTCAAAAGCTGAGGTGTTGCATTGACAGCTGGATCATGAAATTCATGGTCAGGAAGATGGTAGATGGCAAAATCTCGACTAAAACACAGAGGACAAAGTTTGCAATCAAATTATCAAAGCAATCAAATTATCCGAGTTAAATTCTCAAAACTTCATGGAGGATTTACACATACCTATACAAAAGTCCAAGGGCCCACATCTCTAAGATGCCACCTGTGTAGCATCTTTCCTTCCTTAGCTTCTCCAGAGTCTTTGAATAGGAAATGCCCAGTCTTTTTGCCACCTGAATTGAAATAGGATTGAGTTGGAACTTGGAAGCAAAAATAATTTCATCTGAGACTACTTTAAAAAGATTCTTCAAATATGTAAGCCCACAGTGATATGACTGCAAAGCTTAATGATACTAAAGTACTTAAAAGTAGCACTTAATGTACTACTCAATGCTAATTTTACTCTTTTCAGCTCATTTTTTATCTACAAGATGAAACTCTTTTATCTTCTTATGGGTGAACCAAATTGGATGAAGGGTAAAGTTCAACTTCTAGTTCAATGTATGTTCTGAGGGAACTAGTTTGCTTTGATACACTTGTTTGTAGTGAAATAGATTCACTTCATGCAAGAAAAGTGCTCAAGGAAATAGACATAGATATAGACAGGATATAGATTAGGAGAAACTCAGCAAAATTTTTTATGTCAAATTATGTCAGCATATCACCATGCACACCAAGGTTAGGTTAATTGGTTAGACATGAAAGGAATACAATTCCTTTTATTGCTTCCATATGCCTAGCTCAGGACTTCATACCCAAACTGCCTTCCACATGCCATTATGGTAAATGAAGATCAGGCAGATTCATAACTACATTGTAAATATGACACAGGCCTGACCAATGTTGTCAGCAGTGAACAGGCAAGCTGGGTTGCAAAAACCTGAGCTATGTAGACCACAGTTGTTGTGAAAGAACCACAGCATAAAGCTTGCTTATAAAGAGGGTCTTGCACATTGCAAGGTAGGCATTCACTCATAGCATATTCTAAGCACACTGCAGTGATGCTTAGAATGCACACTGCATTTCTTGGTTAAGTTGTAATATTTTGTCAACTTTGTTCTTCCTTCCACCTACTTTTAATTCCGTGAACACTTCTCACTGGCTCTTGGCTTCAGCAAATCATTTTTAGTACTTGTCTACTTTTGTGTTTTAGTCAGAGCATACTGGAACTATGAATGTATCGAAGACAGCATTCAGTGAATGGGTTGATAACTGCTAATATCTCATGCCCATCAGAAAATACTGGTACAATGTTTAGTGTGGCAACAGATAGAAGGGGAACAAAAAAAAAAGAAACAAAGAAACAAACGCATCACATATCTGACTCAAATATTCTGTTCATCTTCTCCATTACAGTTTATAATTTATTTATGTTACTGCCTCTTCACTTCACAATTAGAGGTGCCTGAAAACAAGCATACCTTTTCTTGATTAATCAATAAATATACAAGTCCAATAAGATGCTTCATACTATAACTCATTGTATGCTACAGCTACAGAGGGAGGTTGGTTGGGAGAGACTGAATAATGTAGGACAGTGGCTAACTTTTTAATGAATTGTATGAGATTACTAGATCATGACCTTAATTTTACCAGCAAAAATGATCAAACTTTTTCCTAGTTGATTTATGATAAAACTGACAATAAAGTAATGAAGTTATGAAGAATCCATGGCTAGTCTATATTGTCAGATTATTTATTGATATTTTTTGCCAGTTTTTTCTACATCACACATACCAGGGACTAAACCCAGAAATACAAGCACTTCAAAATCACTAGGTCAAAATCAAAGGTATGGTAATGTTTTCCTCTGGAGATGCTGTTACACTGCATCATTTCTTGAAAATAAAAGTCCAAAATGAACCCACATTCAAGCTTACAGGTATTTCTCTCACTCTCTCTTTCCCTCTCTCTCTCTCTGTGGGAGGGGGGATGCTGGATGGCATTACACCAGCAACATAGAAACTTGCTGAAGGCCAACAGAGCCAAGGAAGTATATCTGCACCTGATACTCAGTTTTTGCTAAGTATTCCAGCAAAACATGGTAAACATTCCACAACCTCAGAGGAAACCTTTCAAAATCCACTTTACCACTTCAATAATTTATTGCTATTAACATTGACTAAAAGAATTGCTGCGGATTTTTAATTTGGCCAAGATGATCTTGCCATCTATATCAAGACCTCCTTAGATCACCTGCTACCATTTGGCTTCACTATAAAACTGCTTGAAAGCTAAATGCAAAAGCAGGAAGAAAAAATAGTTTTTACACTATGGAGTGTGTCACTCACCTCTTCAAACATGCCTTTCTGTTCAGAAAGGAATCTGATGCATTCCTTTTTCACTGTTTCATGATATGTCTGCGACAGGAAGCACTAGTACAGGGAGAAACAATGCATGGGAATCCAGAATGACATTTTGAATTGGTATTACTTTCCTAATTAACTCAAATGGATTTACAATACAAAACTTTGGAGAAGTTCCTACCTTATATCAAACTTGAAAATGCAAAAGTTAATCTAAAATTCACAGCAGAAAAAGATTGCTGGAGCTGATGCATAAAAAATTTAGTTGAGCAGACTGGAAAGCCCATAACATTCAGATTGACTTTGTATGGCCAGCATAGGCCTGCCATAAGAAAAAACCTAGAAGTTGGACGCATGTTGGCTTATCTGAAAAGGAAGACCTAGCAGGCTGGATGATGTTCATTGTTTTTAGATCACACCTTCAAATTATCACAAACAAGCCCAATATCTGTCTTACCAAGCACCCATGCCCACATCCTGTAGGCCAACATGGAAGTGTTAAAAAGTTTGCGAAGCCAATAGCATATTGATAGTAAGTCTATTGAGCTTAAACTTCCTTCTCATGATCTTTCCACCTTTCCCACATGTCCCCCTTTAAAATTATAGAACTTCAGAAGAGTCTGGAGACAAGAAGGGAAGAACATAAAGGGAGGAAGAAGGTAGCATACATAGAGACAGACTGTAAAAGCATCATGTAGTCTAGAAGGTCAAGGTAGGTCCAAATTAGATGATATTCCATAGGCCTGTGAACTACTTATTCACCCAGTTAGGCATTTAGTTTCCATACCTGCTTGTCTGCGAGTAAACACATGGCCAGGTTAGCATTCTGTTTTTCTTTTTTATGGCTTCTATAAAATAAATATTCTTTTTTTTATAGCTTCTACATTCATTTATATTGGGACCAGTGAAATAGATATTCAAGTTTTTACCCCAGATTATAAAAGAAAAAGGTGATAGGGCAGGGAGTGGTGCAAGGCAAGGGGGGAGAGGTAGGTGGTAGGTAGGAACTAGGGAACTGCCCCTCCTATGAAACATTTATGCATCCACTACTGTCACTGCCACTGGGTTACTTGCACAGGCTAGGCATATCATCTCACATATGCCACTGTGGTGGCTTTGTGGATAAGCACTTGATTCCCATGATGGACACCTAGGTTCATGTTCCACTACTGATCTTTTGGTTCTTGCAGCCTGATGCTAGCTGCATTTTTTACATTAGCCAGTTTTTCACCATGGACACCAAGGCCAACTGTCCATGATAGTTTAATATGCAAAGGGAATAAATTCAGGCCTACTCTTTGCAGTTGTGACATACTCGGTCTAAGCCAACCTGCCTGCCACTATGCATGCGAAAGTTTGACCTTGGTTTAATGGAGGTGCCACAGCAAGAGACACATGCAGGATCTAGGCCTAACATGGAGAAAGCAAGAGCCTCTTACCTGCTCTGCTACGCAGCGAAACAGACATGTTGCATCTCGAGCAATTTGCTTCCGGAACAAGCCTATGCTCTCCAAATACTCATCTAACCCATCAATTCGACACCTTGTACCCCATCTCCGTGTGGGCATTCTTCTCAAACGTTTCACGTTGGACCTAAATTTGGGACTATGCCTAAAACTATTATCACAGGTCTGACTTGCCCTGCTGCCTCCTCAAAATCTGCCCAATAGTTGCATAAAATCAATATATATTTTTTATAGACCTGTATGGAGGTCAACTAAATTCTACCTAGCCTAATTTTAAGACACCTAAAAATCTTTGCCTGAAAAAGACATTCAAGAATTTCAAAATGAATTCGTACTACCTTTAACCTCTTCGGAGTGGCAGGTATATATCCCAAATACTATGGCTTTTTATTTTCCTTGGGTCTGGGAGGTGAATAAGCGATACGCATTCATTTGCAAATCGCAGCATGTATGAAAACCACGAGGAGCATCGGAAGAGGAAAACCCCGCCACGGGTTGCCGAATCCTTGACTGAGGCTACGTTCACTATGATAAACGTAAGACCAAGAGACTCAGCCGCACTATAACTTTAATCGCCTTTATATCTTCTACGTGTGAAAGAGGTTGTTGAAACATAAAACATTCACCAAAGGGGTCGAAACTGGGAGGTGCCGATGGAGAGCCGACGAGCGAACACTACACATCCCAGAGCAAGGAAGGGAATGAGCAGTGTGCCCGGAAGTCAGCGAACCAGTTGCTGACGTCATACTTCCTCCAGAGCAAGTTTTCCATCGCTTTCTCATTGGTTTGTGACTTTGGCCTCCAGCTATTTTTTTTATCCCCATGCGGCAGCAAAAGTATCCCACGATCCCTGTTGTTATCAGAATCGATAGAGAGCAGCTAATACAGCATGTAACTGGAGCTCGCCCTGTAAGGCCGAGTTCATACTCCTGCTTTACAGCATGTTGGATGCTGTACTGAAAAATCCAATCCAATATGTCCACCTGCTGGACTACAATCCTGCAATGCATCAAGAAATATGTCATATTCAGCTGGATGCCGCATGTTCTCCGACGAAAAAAAAAATTCAATACATGCTGGATTCAGTAGAAACCATTCCTACTTTTTAGGATGCAGTAGAACATGCATTACAGCAGATGTAGTGCTGCATCTGCTGTGTGCAGAGCGCAGTTTTGCAGTCCGTTAACGGACTGCCGCCGTGTACTGCATTAAGCGTCCAGAACGTGTATGAACCTGGCCTTAGTGTCTAGAAGCGATTATGGCCACAGGACGACTCCATAGTCGTTTGAAATTTCGTCATCTCGCAGGACCCCTTTGGCTCACATGTGAGTTACATTCGTTCAGTCACCGCAATTTATTTTACTCTACTGAACTGAGACGCATTTTACAAATGAGGTACTGACAGTCTCGTCTCGGAAAACTTACTATTAGGTGAAGATCACTTCATTCTGCATGAAGCCTATTATCAGTAATTAGATAATATATTCAATAGATTACTTCTTATTGCGGAAGCGTTGAAAATTCTATGTTTGTCCGACCATCGAACAAGCACAGCCATCGCGGCTGCGAATCGTTCGTTGCGGGTGGAAAGCCATCTAGGATTTTAAAAATTACTAAAATAAATAAATAAATAGAAGGGAATGAGACAATTATGCCGTTACGTTTGCTGAATGAAAGAATCACGATGAATAGTAACAAACAGCAATATACTTTTCAGGGATAAAAGTATATGAATTTGATTTCTTTAACCCTACAACGCGCGATTTTTCTAACTGAACCAAAAACATTTTTGACGATAATATTTATTCATGTGGTTGATGAGAAAAATTATATTTAAAAATTATCTTTTCATTTTGGGTTTTCTATTACAATGCGTTTCACCGCAAAGCAGAGCGCACACGTGCAGTGTAGGGTTAAGTTGCAACAACGCAAAAGGCAATCCGTCGCAGTAGCTCACGACTTCATAAATGAGCTTGATTAGTAATCACACTCATTTAAGTTCGTCACGTTCCAACCTTGAGCACGTCTTTGCCTGTCTTTCGAGTGTCGAAGAAGTGAGCTAATACTGTTGGCACTGAAAAAAAAAACTGAAATAATACTGAATGTATCGAAAGGCATTTCTTATCTTTCGAAAATGGCAGACCAAGCGAACAAAACCGCAGGAGGGGGGATGACGAAAAACGAGGTTCCAATGAGCTTGCACCACGTTACCCTAATCACATTCTACGGTAACTTCAACGGCAACGAGTCACCTCGAAGGGTCTACCAGCAGAACCGAAACTATTCCTGGGCCGCATGAAAGAACCGCCGAGCCAACCTCCAAAGCGAGAGCACATGTGCTGGAACATCCGCGAGGTTGACTCGCCGAGTTTTTCATCGCCGAGCGGCAGCTGGCTCCAGACTAATTTTTTTTAAATACTCGAGTCTGGATTGCAGCTTTGCTTTATCTGTACCTTGTCGTTTGCAGAGTGTAATTTAATTTTTTTAATTGGGTGCACCGTGCATGTGATTTGATAAATGGCCATAAATGGCTAGTCAGACAATTTTTCGTCTGAGTCGGACACTTGTGCATGGCACGTTACTCGTGCATGAGTGTCGAAGTCAAGTGAAACACGCGGTGAAAGGCTCCCTATAGGCGACATGGTGGTGGGGGACGGATTTAGAAGAAAATATACGTTCATCTCTTCTTCGCCCACATTTCGGGATGAATTTTGATGTCCGGTCTCAAAACATGACTGGGCAATGAGTAATTTTTCACGTACAGTGTAGGTTTCAAATCCATCGAGTTCCAAACGTAGGCGATAAACAGACTTGGACTGTGAAGAAAAAAAATATTATAATAGTAATATAAAACCTGTAAAAACTTATTTTAGAAAGTTGGAACTCTTCGAACTACTCTTCACTTTCGCTCTTCACTGCATTGTTGTCCTGGAATCTTCCTGCAGATGTTCCTCGAGACGAGACAAATAAAGTCACTGGGTCCTAGGTCGAGGTGAATATGGCGGGTGCGGCAGTTGGAATCCAACGTCTCGGAAAGAGACTTCTGAAGTCTCTTTCCTCGGCTTTTCTTCATAGATTCGTGCTATGTTCTCAGTGATGCAGCACAGTACTGACCTGTGATCGTACTACGAGCTGGCATGTCGTCGATGTGAAGGACTCCCATTGTGTCGGAGAAAATCACTTTTAACGACTCGGGTGGCGGTGAGTCCTTGCGTCTCCATCGCATCGACTGCCGCTTGAATTCAAGCAGTCGCTTACAAAACTGGGAATTTACCCTCACGACACGGCTCTTCGACCCCAGCATCTAGCGGACTTCAAGAAGACGATTCCCTCATGCTTGAAAAACGACCTGACGTTGCTTCCTCCACTTCTGCATGTTCTTCTTATGCGTCTGGACATGCTACGCAGAGGCATCGTTTCTGGCTCGTCATACCTCCACTCCAGGATTTCCTTCCTTCGAAAGAGAGGGGCTTGACGTCTCTATTGGGGAGAGAACGGGAAAGCGGGGATCACATTGGGACTGGATGCGCGCTTGGAGACACCTGTCGACGGATTGAAGCAATGCGGAGGGTGCGCGCCGAACGCGATCATTGAGGTCGTTGCCCGATGAGCGTTGCGTATTCGGGGTGCATTCTCTGATGACCAGAAGAGAAAGAGACAAATGTGACTTTCTCTTTTCAGTTATCTTGTCCGAAGAGATGGGGTCAAGGGAAAGGGGGATTAAACAATCAGGTCGGGATATTAATTTGAAGGAAATCGATGCGTTCTGTAGAGTCGAACGCCTATAATCAAGTTTTGCATTTCTCTCACTGACAAAATTTTTCATGGATATTCCTTTAGAAGCGTACATCTGTGTAAGCGGGATATTCCCGTAGACCATGCGCTTTCTCTGAAGCTTTTGGTGCGGAGGTCACACTCGTGTGAGGAGCCATTCACGTCGTAAAACAGCAGGAATGAGTAACAGCTGGGAAAGCGCAAATTGAGCACCGGGGCAAGCCGCCTGCTCGTAGCGACCGGGTTCAAGGACCTCTGCGACGGCACGTTCTCGTGTGTCTTCTACGTCACGGTCACGCGACCGGGTGGGGGGGAACACGGAGTCTTCCATCTGCTTCAGTCACGGGGAAAACCTTTGAGTGCATCCGTATCCGTGCGACGGTGAGGACTGGATTATGTTCCAGGAAATGCTAACGATATTCCTCCTTTTTTTATAATGTCACGCGTGAAACCCGTTGCAAGCACTAAATTCCCGGTATTTAGCTCCTCGAGGAATCCATTCTCAGCAACCAGCTGATAATCTGATTGCGCCTTCAAAAGCCTAATATATGTATGCAATTGCACCTGTATGCATAATACACTCTAGAATCTTGAGAGTGTAATGGGTCTAAAATACGGAATATTTTCCCTTACCGACTGGAATCGGTGAGATTTTTGCCGAGAACACAAGTGTCATCTACAGTCCTTCAACCGGGTTGCTTTAGAATGTTACCTCTATTTTCTTTGCTGGAAAATCTTAGTAGGTCTCTATTTGGAAGCGATTATGATACAAAGTGCAGCTCTTAACAAAGAAGTTGGAAGATTGACTGGACCCACGTGGTCGCCGAACTTCACCGCACGAATTCTGAAGCTTAACAAGGACGAGAGGGCTGGCGTCCCTTTCGCTCGTGCTGACATAATAAAATTACCGGAACCTTTTCTTCGTTCTCTCAAAACCATTTGATCTACCTAGCGGTAGCGCCAAAATGGCCCTATTGGAGATGATCTTGAAATTGCAGGTTCTTTCGTGGCCCTCCGATTCGAGATCGATTCTGTGAGAGACGAAAACTTCTATTTCACCTTCAACGATGCCACCATCTTGGCTATCAAGTTAGTGGGGCTGAAAGTACAGAAATGTAAACAATTGTCATTGCCACTCGGCACGACAGCCGATTCGCCTGGAGGAAGGAGGAAGGAGATGGACGAGTTTCGAATCTTCGAGGGAGACTACATAGCGGTGATGCACTCCCCGCCACTCCCCGCCCTCGAATGCTTCTTCCGAGCGTCGCCAGAGCGTCGAGGAGGTTGACGTCACTCCTGTGTTGAACAAGAGGCGGGGAGGATGGGGA